GCTCTTCCCATCTCCCGTTTCATCAGCTGAACTCCAGGAAATCGGAGGCTTCTGAATGCGGCTGTAGGGATCCACCCACCTCATTCCTTAGAGACCATCCCTCCGGGAAGTGCGTGTGCAAACATGCAGGTCACTCTTTGCCAGGTGCTGGGCTGTGGAGACGAGGAAGCACCCCGACCCAGCCTCGCTCTCCTGGAAGGAGCATTTTGGGCAAAAGGGGGCCCCCTCACTTGCACATCCCCTCGGCAGTTCTCAGCCAGTCCTTGGCTCCAGATCGAGTAGTCAAGGCCATCTGGACCGTGGACACCACACTCTGGACTTTGGCCCACACGCCTGAGTGTGCAGACAACAGCAGAATGTGGAGCATCTATCAGGCCGGTTTTATAAATGGGGAAACGGAGCCGGAAGCTCTTCTTCGGTCTCTTTTCATTCTTGAGGGGTCTGGGTGCTTCCAGGAGCGGTTCTTGTGAATTCTGCTGCCTCCTCAGCTCGAACATCTCCGTGTTCTGGATTCAGACTCCATCACAGCACCAAACACCTCTGGCCAGTTTTTTCTGCAACACGACAGCCCTGAAGATAGAAATGCAGACTCTTGGTGTCATCACAGGAAACTGGAGGTGAGCATGAGCACCCTAGCCTGGCTTACCTGCAGAGCTACAAGTACCCAAAACCCAAGTGGGCAAGACACAAGCCAGGAGATGGCGGCAGGCCTCGCAGCCCGGGCTTCGCACACGCCCAGGGGTTCTGAGCACAGCACGCAGACTGCTAGGTGCTTGCTGCTTCCACAAAAGCTCTTTTATTACTTCAGCTGCTTAGAGAAACTCTTCTAGTGATTTCCAAGATTATGGACCTGTTGTGTCTACCCTTTAGAGTTTGTCAAGCATTAGGAAAACGTGAATAAGTCTGATTTTAATGCTAATTAAGATATCAGGGCTCCATCCCTGTCAGCAGCTTGGGGAAATGAAGAGAGAAAAGCTTTTCTCAGACTGACTCATGGCCAAATAGAAATGGTGTTCCCCCAACTTCATAAACTCCTCCCTTCAAATAATCCAGAAGGTGCTTAAAACAAGCGGCTCTTGGTGTGGTCTAGAGTCTCTGTCAGAGGCAGTCAGCATGGCCATGGGCAGGTGGACAGGCCAAAGTGGGCTTCACTTTGAGGCGAAGAAGATGCACTTGCCGGAGACAGGATGGCTCTCACAGAGGGCAGACTCCTCTGGTGTCCCTGAGGCTACTGGGGTGTGGCCTCTCCTGCCATTAGGGCTTCGAGGAGCATCCCCAAGGCACTTGCCTGTATGGATTCTTGTGCTGTAAAAGCCTTTCGGTCATATCGCATCTGGGGCTGGACATGGGGTTCAGAGTCTATAAGAGACTCAGTCTTTGTTTTTTATATTTTATTTCTTTATTTGACAGAGAGAGAGAGAGCACAAGCAGGGGGCGCGGCAGAGGGAGAAGCAGGCTCTCTGCTGAGCAGGGAGCCCAATGTGGGACTCGATCCCGGGACCCTGGGACCATGACCTGAGCCGAAGGCAAACACTTAACCGACTGAGACACCCAGGCGCCCTGAGAGACTCAGTCTTGTTCTCAGTATTTTCCTGGTACCTCGGACAATGTTAAGGAAACATTCATCTTCACATTCTGTCCTCTATTCTTGGCCATTTCCATCCAGACATTGTCATGAAAAGGGGCAGAGTCCCCATATGTTGGACAGAAGTGCCCGGAAGAGGTGAGAAGTGCAGGCACTGAGGACGCAAGGTGGTTGCAGGAGGGAGGGAGTCAGTCTAGTTTGGGTTCTCTTTCTCCCAGTGCCTTGCCTTTGGGAGGGGGGAGGATGAGCAGGAGAAATTATTTGGAATGCAAACCCAGGAGGCTCTTCCCCTCAGTGTGCCCGTGTCTCCCGTTGAAGAGCTTGGGATCAGACAGACCTGAGTTCTTCTCCCGTCTTTGCCGTGTATTAGCTATACGTCCTTGGGCAAATCCTGTAACCTGTGCCTTGTTTCCTGTCTGTAACTTGGAATGATATTGACGGCCCCTGCTCATATGAGAGATCATGTGTAAAGGGCTTTATCAGTTATCTATTGCTCTGTGACACACCATCGCAAGACCCTAGTGGCTTAAATCAACAACCGTTTGCTTGGCGCGTCGCTCTGCGGGTCCGCGGCAGCTCCTCCGGTCTCACCAGCCTCACTCCTACTGCTGCACGAGGATGGCCTCGTTCCCAGGTTCCGGTGGTGGACAGGCTGCCCGCCAGGGGCTGGGACTGTTGGCTGGGCGCCCACCTTTCCTCCACGTGGCCTCATGCTCAGGCAGACTGGCTCAGGTGTGTTCCTTGGGCAACTCAGAGTTGCAAGCTCTAAAGCACAAGCTCCTTTCAAGGTTCTGTTTATATCACGTTACTCACGCCTCATGGGCTGGCCCAAAGCAAAGGGATGGAGAAATAGCCTCCATCTCTTGATGGTGAGGGAGAATTTGTGGCCATTTCTTGCAACCACAGGATGAGCCAGAGGTTGCCCGGTTTGTATCACCCTTCATGGAGTCTTGTGGGCATTTATGGCAAGTTGAGCAACTCCAGATCCGGGCTGGGCCTGGCAGCAGATATGCAGGGTGGTCAGAGTCTGCACCCAAGTCTGAAAGTATGCAGTTCCCAGTGGCTGGGAAGACAATCCAGGTCTTGACAGTGGGGCGCTCTTCGAGGTCCTCCTGCATCACAGAGAACTTCATGCCTGGCGGGATGATATTGTGTGAAAACCTGGATGTTGAGACTCAGTTCTTCTAACCATTTGTGAGACAATACATATGGGTCTTTGCCCCTGGTCCTGGCAAAGAGCTCCTGAAACTCTTATAAATTCCTAAGTGATAAGAACACTAGGAGGACCTTTTGTTCTGATGAGGTGTCTCTGGGTGGGCCCCTGGGTGGCTCTGCTGGTCACCAGAAAGACTAAGAAATGATTAGAAACTTGGCATTTTCAGCTCTGTCCCATCCTCCTGAGAGGGAAGAGTGGCTGGAAATGGAGCTAATGATCAATCAGGCCTTTGTCATGAAGCCTCTGTAAAATCCCGAAAATACAATATTCAGTTTCCAGTTTGGGGAACACAACACCTGGGTGATGTGCCCCAATTCCATGAGGACAGATGGCCTGTGCTTGGGACTCCCCTGTATATCTCTTCATCAGGCTACTCATCAGTATCCTTTATCACAGCCTTTAATAATCTGGTAAATGTGTTTCCCTGACTTCTGTGAGCCACTTTGGCAAATTAATCAAATCTGAGGAGGGAGTTGTGGGAATTCCTGATTTGTTGACAGAAGTTGTGAGTGATCTGGCATCTGAAGTGGGGGACAGAGTGGTAAAACTGAGCCCTTCTGACACTGTGTCCCCACAAATAGCGTCCAAACTGAATTGAATTGTGGGACCCCCACCCGGTGTCACAGAGAATTGCTTGGGGGAAAATTCCCTACACATCTGGGGACCAGAAGTGTCAGAAGTAGAGGAGATATTCAGGAGGAAGATTCACATAGGAGGGAAGAACTGGGTTTTCCTACTCAGGATAACTGAGTTGATTTTCTAATTCACCCTTCTTCTGAAGATAGGGCTCAGAATACCTTCAATGCATTTTTCACTTGTTTGTTCTTTCATGGTATGCATAAACTTGATATATGGTAAAGTTCGTTGAAACAAATCTAGAACTGCTCTTTCAAGGTGATTAAGAAAGCCTTGCGTCATTATTTGATTGGCTGCCTACAATTCATTCTCGACAGGAGTGAGTCAGCATTAGTCTACTCTCCCTACCCTGTGGTTCACTGTGAAAACCCTATGGCCCTCTGTCCACTGCTGGTTCCCCAGCCCCATGCTGGGTGCAAATCAGGCTCGGAGGCCTCAGTCCTAACCTTAAGCTGCCATAGCCTTAACTAAATAAAATAAAACAAAATCTGTTTTGTAATCTTTATGAGATGGTCACAAGAGGAGGCACAGAGAGGCTCAGGAAAAACAAAGTTTATTATACAGGCGCAGGAGGCAGGGCAGGCTGTGAAAGGACCACCAAGGTGGCCAGGACACAGGAGATGGGAGTGAGAGGAAGCTTTGAAGTTTTTAGAATTTTGGCGGGCTTTGGACTACAGGGGTGGTCCGTAGTTGCCCGACACCTGGCCGTGGGATGATTAAGAGGAATACTGCCTCCTGGGATTGGGGCCAGGTGAAGTCCGCTAGGCATGCTCCTGTGGGCCCTTTGCTGTCCCTAACAACTGGCCAGCACGGGGAGGGGGGGCAATCTCTCCGCAGCCAGAAAGGCTTTTGAAGACGAGAAAACATAACGTGCAGAAAACAGGTTATGTAAATGATCAATTATACGTGGAGTACTACACAGCTGTGAAAACAGGTTAACTACAGCCGAGGACGCGAAGAGGCATCTTTCAGCGTCGAGGGAAAGGCGGCGCAAAGGACTGCGGCAGGATCCCCACCCCCGAGGACCCGCTGTCTTTGGGGCTCTAACACCTGCGGCCACCTCCGCCGAAAGTCAAAGCAAGCAGCCCAGTCGCCCGGGCCTCCGCTGGTTGCCGCAAGGTCTGCCTGGGCAGCCCCCACGGCGGTTCGTCTGGCCCGCCTCCCGGCCCGGCGGCAACGCAACCGCCGACGGAGGCACAAGGCGGGTCTGCGCGTTTTAGCGTCTCCCCGGTTTGGGCTTTGTCAGGTTGTTTCTTCGTGACCAAGTCTCGGCCATTCTCCGCAGGAGCGATGCACAGGCACGCCACAGCTTTCCCGCACGGGACGCCGCTGCGAATGCGCTCCGCCAACCGCCAACCCTAAACTGAGACCTCCCCTGCCCAGGTGTCCCGTCCCTCCCTCGCCGTTGCCACTACCAAGATGGCGCCAGCGGCGCCACCACGCCGGCCGCGGCGCGAGGCCTCCGGACCGAGGGGGTGTGACCGGGTAGCCGCCAGCCAATGGGGAGGCCGCGCGGGCCGCAGCCAGTGGGGAGGCCGCGCGGGCCGCAGCCAATGGGGACGCCGCGCGGGCCGCAGCCAATGGGGACGCCGCGCGGGCCGGGTGCCGGGAGCCGCGGAAGGGCTGCGGCGTTCCCGCCATGTCGGAACCGCGGTCGCAGGACGCTGCCTCGGACTTGGGGTCCGGGAGCCGCAGGAGGACGTGGGCCGAGCTGCTGGGTGAGAGCGCGCCGGAGCCGCGGGCGTGGGTGGTGCCGGGCCCTGAGACCCCTTCCCGCCCCAGCCTCCGCCGGCCCGGTCCCCGGCCCCTCCCTGCCCCCCAAGACCTCCCGCCTTCCCCCGCCTCTCCCGGACCCCGGCCTTCGTCCCCCCGACCCCTGGTCCCGTGGCTCTCCAGTCCCCTCGGCCCTGGCGGGGCTGGCCAGCGTCCAGCCGGACGTCCAGGAAGATGGTTGAACGAGGCGCGGGGGTGAGGCGTCCAGTAGCGCGGGAGGACGGCTTAGCCCCCGAACCTCAGAAGCTCGGGACGAGCCCCTGCCCAGGACTCTAGCGTTTGCGCGGGACTGCCGGCTGGAGCAGACTCGACGCGGGTTTCCCCGGCTTTCCCCGGCGTGCCCTTTTTCTGTCCCCGGACCCCACGCAGACTTGACTTGCTGTGTCTCGCCTTCCACCCATGCCTGACAGTTGCCCCTTCCCTGGACATTTGGAGGAGCCTTGGTCCCACACCTCAGATGGGCATTTTTCTGGAATGCGTGGAATTTCCCGTGCAAGTACTGTGTCCCCAGGGTGCATCCCATCAGCGGGTCTAGAATGACCCCGAGTCGACTGACGGAGGTTTTAAGGAGTGCTGTAATTTTGTGGAACTGTTTTTTCCCCTTAGCTGGAAGGGTCAAGAGGCAACGGCAGGGGCTTGGAAGGGAACACAAGCTGCCGGAATCAGCTGTGCGCCTCCTGAGACGCCATCTAAATTTGAACGACCTTTTGCTGGAGGTAAGAGGAAATTGGTTTGGCCTTTGAAGGCGGGTTTCAATTTGGGTGTTTTGCACCTGGCCAAGGCATAATCTTCCTGAAGAGACACCGAAAAGGCCTTCTGAGTATCTGGTAGAAGCACCCATTTAAATGTTGACTAGGCGAGAAAGAGATGGGGAGCATTTATCTTTCTGGAGATAAAATAAGGTCAGAGTGAATTTAGTTTTTCTCAAAAGGCTTTGGTAAGTTTCACTTTTTAAAAATGTTTACCTCAAAATATTTGAGACTAGTGCAGTAAGCGAGATACAGAGATACAGAGAGAGAGAGAGGCAGAGGGAGAGGGAGAAGCAGGCTCCCCACTGAGCAAGGAGCCTGATGCAGGGCTCGATCCCAGGACCCTGGGACCATGACCTGAGCCGAAGGCAGACGCTCAGCGACTGAGCCACCCAGGTGCCCCACACAGCTTGAATTTTAACTAGAGTTCCTTGTGTTTGGTTTCTAGGTAGGAGGTTCAGCATGTAAAACTCTGTGTCTCAATCAGTGGATGGATCCTGAGGCCTCTGCTGATCTTTCTAGTTCATTCATAGGTAAGTTAGAGCTCAAGTTTCTTAACATACGCAGTTATGGGAGAGCTTTATGTAAAGTGACCTGGACCTCCTTGGGGCGTGTTATAAGGCTGTTATTTAAGCCGCGTTTGACTCAGCGTAGGACTCAGAAGCAGTAGTTGCCAAAGTGTCCCTTGGAAAAACATGGAACAGTAATGTGCACCACGTTTACACAAGTGGCAAAAACGGGTTGTGCTCGATCCGAGAGAGCAGACAGGAAGCCAGAAGGAATTTCTGGGGTTGAGACTATTTCAGGATATTTCAATTTGAGAATAATAAGATCAGGGAATTCTATGAGAATAACAAAAAAATCAGTTATTTTCTGGACATTCACATTTTTATTATGAAATGATGGTCATTTCAGAAAGATATTAGCTAAGTCATTAATTTGTCTGAAGTATCAATTAAAATAACCATAAACAAACTCCCCTTGACCACTGATCACTACAGATCTTTGGTGAATCGTACTGATTTTCACTGCCCTGTGTTTGAATTTCACGTCCTAGCGTCATCATTCTGGGGAACCAGGCTCAGCCACACCCCTCGCAACAGAACATAACAAGGCATAAGGCCTTGTATGAAAAGCTCTTGACCTTGACTACAGAAATACAAATAGACCCTTAATTCATGAATTTATTAGTGGCTTTTCCTGTTGAAGATAGTTGCTATTATACTTACTCATATGATATATGATATATAAAACATGTTATATAAAAAAATTAAAGCCTTATAAATGAAAATAGACACTTTTCCATGGAGACCATTTGGAAACAAATGGTTAGAAACTAGCATTTTCTACCTTTCTATTGTGAATTCTTTGTTTCTTTTTTCTTTTTAAGATTATTTATTTATTTGACAGAGAGAGAGACACAGCGAGAGAGGGAACACAAGCAGGGGGAGTGGGAGAGGGAGAAGCAGGCTTCCCGCCGCCGAGGAAGGAGCCTGACGCGGGGCTGGATCCCAGGACCCCGGGGCCATATCCCGAGCCCAAGGCAGACGCTTAACGACTGAGCCACCAAGGCGCCCCTACTGTCCTTTTTTTTTTTTTTTAATATTTTATTTATTTATTTGACAGAGAGAGAGATAGCGAGAGCAGGAACACAAGCAGGGGGAGTGGGAGAGGGAGAAACAGGCCTCCTGCTGGGCAGGGAGCCCGACGTGGGACTCGATCCGAGGACCCTGGGATCAGGACCTGAGCCGAAGGCAGACGCTTAACACTGAGCCACCCAGGCGCCTGCATTTTTTTTTTTTAAGATTTTATTTATTTATTTGAGAGAGAGCATGAGAGGGGGGAGGGTCGGGAGGGTCAGAGGGAGAAGCAGACTCCCTGCCGAGCAGGGAGCCCGATGTGGGACGCGATCCAGGGACTCCAGGATCATGACCCGAGCCGAAGGCAGTCGCTTAACCAACTGAGCCACCCAGGCGCCCAGACACTCCTATTTCTGTCCTACTCTGTCCATTTTTTAATTGAAATTTTTTTTGGTGTTAAATTGTAGAAGTTCTTTATATATTTTGGATATTAACCCCTTATCAGATACATCATTTACAAATAGCTTCTCCCATTCAGTAAATTGCTTTTTGTTTGGTTGAGGGTTTCCTTCACTGTGGAAAAATAATGGCTAGAAATCAACATTTTCTCTCCTACCATGAATTATTTCTTGACCCCAGTAGTTGATAATTTCTAATATTGTCATTTGGAATCCTTATAGCTACTATCAATTATTTTAATTTACATATTGGTATGCATTTTCAGAGCCCTGAAGATAATGGGCATGTGTTACAGTTTCCTTTTCTTTTTTTTTTTTAAAAAAAACCCCAGTTTTGGAGGTCAAATAAATTAGACAACAATTTGCTTGTAGGCATTATCTTTTTCCAGGCTGTTGAGCATTCTTTATTAAATGTAGACCAGAGGCTAGATACTCAGGAGGCTGGTAGCTGCAGCTTTTTTTTTTTTTTTAAAGATTTTATTTATTTATTTGACAGAGAGAGACACAGGGAGAGAGGAAACACAAGCAGGGGGAGTGGGAGAGGGAGAAACAGGCTTCCTGCTGAGCAGGGAGCCTGATGCGGGGCTTGATCCCAGGACCCTGGGACCATGACCTGAGCTGAAGGCAGGCGCTTAACGACTGAAGCACCTAGGCTCCCCTGGTAGCTGCAGCTTAAAAGGCTTTTTAAACCCCAGGTCTTCTATTTTACCCGTTGTAGTGTGTCTCCGGCTTTTTGTTTTGTCTTTGAGGCTCTGCTTTACGGGATGAAGCCTCGAGACTCGGTGTCCCAGTAGCTGTGCTGTCCAGCCGGGCAGTGGCCTCCAGCTTTGTGCAGATCTGTGCGTCCAGTGGCGAGCCCTCCCACAGGGTGCTGCTGAATGCAGAGCAAAGGGTAAGACGCAGGCCATGAGCTAATGGTGGTTACTCATTACTTTTAAGCTATTTAGGAAAATAGGACATTTCTTTAATATTGTTTCAGGTATTTGCTTTTTTTTTTTTTATAAGATTTAATCTCTCTTTTCAGAAGAAAATGTCTTCTTTATTGGAGGTGGCTCAGTATTTATTAGCCCATAGTATGTTCTCTCGTTTCTCCTTCTGTCAAGAACTATGGGAAGTACGGGTAAGTTTGACATTGCAACTCTGACTCTTGGGGTTTCTCAAGCAGTGTTCTGTTGCGCGGAGACAGCAGAGTCCCAGCATGTTCTTTAGGGATTCCACCAAGCATCTCATTAATCATGGGGCAGGGAGAGAACCATTCAGCATATGCCCCTGTGGGTGGGAAAGAGGTATCTTCAATTTCCATATTTGTCAGTATTCACCCATTATTAGTAATATTTATTAGAATGGACCACAGAAACATGTTTTCTCTTCTTAGGTATAATTATGAACAATTTTCCAGGGTAGTATGATAAACTAGAAAATTATAATTTAAAAATTATTTTTCTTCTTTTTTGAAGCTTTTTTTTTTTTTTTTTAAGATTTTATTTATTTGACAGAGAGAGACACAGCGAGAGAGGGAACACAAGCAGGGGGAGTGGCAGAGGGAGAAGCAGGCTTCCCGCCGGGCAGGGAGCCCGATACGATGCGGGGCTCGATCCCAGGACCCTGGGATCATGACCTGAGTCAACGGCAGATGCTTAACGACTGAGCCCCCCAGGCGCCCCTTTTTTGAGGCATTTTGAATTCAGTAGGTTTACAGATTTTTGAATAGTTGAAAGAACTCAAGGTAACTGGTTATTACATTGTTATTAGTAAGAATATAGAAGAGGGACAGAAAAAACCCAGGTGATGGTGCATTCGTGGTTCCCCCCCATTCTTTTATCCGGCATACGTTACATACATGTCTACAGATGTGTCAGCACTTGATGGGGTCCCTGTGCTCACAGCTGTCTAGCTGGAGGGAGGGGCAGCCGAATGCCCGTGAGCTGTGGTGGAGAGTGGACAGCTGCGTGACTGGTGGCTAGGAAAGGCTCGGAGAGCTGGCAGCTGCGTGCAGTGTGGAGGAGGGCAGGACAAAGTAGGCTGTGGGACACAGGAGCCGTGAGCAGGATGTCCTGGGGGCAGGAGGAAGGCTGTCTGCTGCAGGAGGGGGGACCTTGCTGGGATAGGAGACAGAAACCAGGTTACAACTATCCTGTGCTGCGTCCAAGAATCTCAAGTTTGCTCTGAAAGCTGCGAAGAGCCACTAAAGGGTCCAAAGAAGAGAAGAGATTGACATGTCCAGTCTCTATTTTGGAATCTCGTATTGGCCACAGTGGAGAAAGTCCTAGAAGCAGGTTACACTAGAGGCTGGGCAGGGTGCTGGGGCATGAGGAGATGAAGGGTGGTAATGGTGAGTGTCTGAAGCCAAAGGGATCAACGATGTGTTGGAAGCCGTGCCTGTTACTCCGGTAATTTCGTAGGAAAATGTGTGCACGGAGGACTCATAGCGCTCTTACTTTCTTCAGAGTTCTTTGTTGCTTGAAGCTGTGTGGCATCTTCACGTACAAAACCTTGTGAGCCTCCAGGAGCTGTTGGAAAGGTAGTGTACCAATGATGCTTTAACATAATCATAGTATTACAGGATTTATTTTTTGTAATTTAGCCTTTATGACTTACTTATATATCAAAGCCAAAATCACTGAAACTCTTACTTCATTATTTAAAGAGAACAATTGTTATAATCAAAGTCTTTGTCATGCACAAACTTGGTAATGTTTTCTTTGTATAAGATATATCGTGGGAGGGGCGCTTGGGGGCTCAGTCGGTGAAGCGTCTGCCTTCAGCTCAGGTCATGATCTCGGGGTCCTGAGATCAAGCCCCGCATCGGGCTCCCTACTCAGGAGTCTGCTTCTCCCCTTGCTTGTGCTCTCTCTCTGTCAAATAAATAAACAAAATATTAAAAAAAAAAAAAAAGATATATCAGGGGATAAATTTTTTTTTTTAAGATTTTATTTTTAAGTAATGTCTATACCCAGCTCGGGACTTAAACTCACAACCCTGAGATCAAGAGTCACACGCTCTACTACCTAAGCCAGCCAGGTGCTCTTGTAATAAAATATTTTATTTTATTTTTTAAAGATTTTATTTATTTATCTGAGAGAGAGAATGGGAGACAGAGAGCATGAGAGGGGAAGGGTCAGAGGGAGAAGCAGACACCCCACTGAGCAGGGAGCCCGATGTGGGACTGGAGCCCGATGTGGGACTCGATCCCGGGACTCCAGGATCATGACCTGAGCCGAAGGCAGTTGCTTAACCAACTGAGCCACCCAGGCGCCCCCCTGTAATAAAATATTTTAAAAAATTAGGTGCCTGGGTGGCTCAGTGGGTGGCTGAGTGACTTTATATAAAGATAACCCCCTAAAGAGGGCAAGTGTAGGAGAAGAGCTAGGAGAAGCAAAGGTTTGGAAGCAGAAGGCAGATAGATCTGTGGTAAATGACTTAGGACACCTGAGATAGACTTGCCCTAAGCCAGCAGGTGCGGCTGCTCACTCTGTTTCTGGAAGACCACAGGATGGGAGTGCCGAGCACTTCTAATGGAAGGTGAAGGAGAGGGACTCAGTATGTCTGAAAGCACACAGAAGAGGCGTTTGGAGCTTTGCCTGCCGCGCTCTCGGCAGCCAGGCATTGCTCCTTCCCCAGCCAGACAGAAAGCCGGGATTTGTATATTTGTCATCTGGCCAGGAACAATTGGGTGTCTAGTTTGGGGGACCCTGAAGCACAGTTGAAAAGGCTGTGTTGAAACCAGTGGCCTTGTGAGGTGTGGGTCACATCTGGATTTGAAAAGTTGGATCTTCACCTTATAGCACAACAAGTCTAGGTGAATCAAAGGGGGAAAAATGAAATTATGAAAGTACTAGAAGAAATCGTGGAAGATGTTTCTATAATCTTGGAGAGGGAAAGGCCTAACTATGATAAAAGCCCCAGGACTTAGAGAAGATTGACAGATCTAACTATGGAAAACGTATTTCCTGACCTGTGCACTCACTAGGCATAGGGGGGTTACAAAAGGCATCCAGATCGGAATGGAAAAAGTAAAACTATTTGCAGAGGACATCATCTTGCATATTGAATACCCTAAGGAACCCACACTGAAAGATATTAGAGCTAATTAGCAAGTTTAGCAAGGTTGCAGGAAACAACCTCAATATGCAAAAGTCAGTGGTGTTTTTATACAATAACAACAATCTGAAAAGGAAGTTAAAATTTCATTTGGGGCACTTGGCTGGCTCCGTCCGAAGAGCCTGTGACTCTTGATCTCGGGGTCATGAGTTCGAGCCCCAACTTGGGTATAGAGATGATTTACATAAACCAAACTTAAAAAAAAATTTTTCATTTAAAAGAACATTGAGGGCGCCTGGGTGGCTCAGTTGGTTGGGCGACTGCCTTCGGCTCGGGTCATGATCCTGGAGTCCCTGGATCGAGTCCCGCATAGGGCTCCCTGCTCGGCAGGGAGTCTGCTTCTCCCTCTGACCCTCTCCCCTCTCATGTGCTCTCTCTCATTCTCTCTCAAATAAATAAAATCTTTAAAAAACAACAACATTGAAATTAATAAATTAGGAATAAAATAAAAGAAGTGCAAGACTTGTACACCAGAAACTATAAAACATAATTAAGAGAAATTAAGAGCTAAAGAAATAGACATTCCATGTTCATGGATTGGAACACTTAATATTGTTAGGATAGCAGTATCCCTGCCAAACTGATTTATGCATGCAGTATAATCTCCATCAGAATCTAACTCGGCTTTTTTACATACATTGACAAGCTGATTCTGATACTGAACTGGAGATGCAAGGGACCCTGAATAGCCCAAAATTCTTCAGAGAACAACATTGGGGGATTCACAGGTCCTGTTTTCCGAACTTATTACAGAGCTGGCCTAAGGGTAGACCTAGAGCAGTGGAATAGCATTTTTTTTTTTTTTAAGATTTTATTTATCTATTTATCTATTTATTTATTTTTAAGATTTTATTTATGTATTTGAGAGAGAGAATGAGAGAGAGCACATGAGGGGGGCGGTCAGAGGGAGAAGCAGACTCCCTGCCGAGCAGGGAGCCCAATGCGGGACTCGATCCCGGGACTCCAGGATCATGACCTGAGCCGAAGGCAGTCGCTTAACCAACTGAGCCACCCAGGCGCCCTAAAGATTTTATTTATTTGACAGAGAGAGACACAGTGAGAGGGAACACAGCAGGGGGAGTGGGAGAGGGAGAAGCAGCCTTCCCTCCAAGCAGGGAGCCCGACGTGGGGCTCGATCCCAGGACCCTGGGATCATGACCTGAGCCGAAGGCAGATGCTTAACGACTGAGCCACCCAGGCGCCCTAGAATAGCATTTCTAGTACAGATGTAAACCCTGAATATTTTTTTTAAAGATTTATTTATTTATTTTAGAGAGCGAGAGCATGAGCAGAAGGGGCAGAGGGAGATAGAGAGTCCCAAGCAGACTCCACGCTGAGCGCAGAGCCCGATGCGGGGCTCGACCTCAAGACCCTGAGATCATGACCTGAGCCAAAACCAAGAGTCAGATGCTCAACCCACTGAGCTACCCAGGCGCCCCTGTCAATTGATTTTTGACAAGGGTGCCAAGACCATTGAATGGAGGGGAAAATGGTCCATTCAACAAATGGTATTGGGACAACTGGACATGTACATGCAAAGAATGAGGTTGGACCCCTGCTTCACACCACACATAGCAACTAAGTCACAGTGCATCTAAGATCTCAGTGTAAGAGCTAAAGCCATAAAACCTCTAGAAGAAAACGTAGGGTTACGTCTGCATGAGCTTGGATTAGGCAATTGTTTCCTGGACAAGATGCCTAAAACTCATGCAACAGAAGAAAATGTAGAAGGAAAATTATGCTTCATCAAGTTTTAAAACTTGTGTGTGTGTCAACACTTAAGACCATGAAATGACCATGCACAGAATGGGAGACATTAATTGCAAATCACATATCTGATAATCTAGTATCTAGAGTAAAGAACTCTTGTAGCGCAACAATAAAAGCAAATAATTCAATTAAAAATGGACCAAGGATTTCAACAGACATTTGTCCAAAGAGGATACACATGAGGCCAAGCACAGGAAAAGGTCCCAGATGTCGTTAGTCCCCAGAACAGCGCAAGTCGCCAGGTGAGATCCCCTGCTTCTCTTTCCAGATCCAACCTCCCCAGGTTGTTCTGCATGGCTGATGCCCTTGATGACAGTCTGTCGCCTCAGGCTGCTACTGTTTTATTTGTTTCTGAATATTTTACCTTTTTTTTTTAAAAGATTTTATTTATTTGAGAGAGAGAGAGAGCACACGAGAGGGGGGAGGGTCAGAGGGAGAAGCAGGCTCCCCACTGAGCACGGAGCCCGATGTGGGACTTGATCCCAGGACTCTAGGATCATGACCTGAGCCGAAGGCAATCGCTCAGCCGACTGAGCCACCCAGGTGGCCCTGATTGTTTTACTCTTACTGAACTTTCTTTTTTCCCCGAGTAGTAGTAAGCTATTCCATATACGCTTTTTGAAAATGATTGCTTTTTTTTTTTTAAGATTTTGTTTATTTATTTGACAGAGAGAGACACAGCGAGAGAGGGAACATAAGCAGGGGGAGTGGGAGAGAGAGAGGCAGGCTTCCCACAGAGCAGGGAGCCTGATGCAGGGCTCGATCCCAGGACCCTGGGACCATGACCTGAGCCGAAGGCAGACACTCAATGACTGAACCACGCAGGTGTCCCATGAAAATGATTATTTTTTTTTTAAAGATTTTTTAAATTTATTTATTTGAGAGAGAATGAGAGAGAGCAAGCACATGAGAGGGGGGAGGGTCAGAGGGAGAAGCAGACTCCCTGCCGAGCAGGGACCCCAATGCGGGACTCGATCCAGGGACTCCAGGATCATGACCTGAGCCGAAGGCAGTCGCTTAACCAACTGAGCCACCCAGGCGCCCCGAAAATGATTATTTTTAATGTCAGTAGCAGCCAGGTCTTCTGGGTCAGCGGGCCCTGTCGTGACTTCTGGGGACGGCTCAGGTGGCTCCCAGCTGGTTCTCAGTGCCCAAGCTTCCTAGTGAAGTGCGTGTGGAAGAAAAGGGCCTGATACATATGGGACGATGGTGAGCCCAGGGTGAGCTGTGTGCTTTGTCCCTAGTCATGCTGACACGCAGGCCACGGTTGCGTGGCTCTTCAAGGACCTGTGCGTTCTGTGTGAGCAGATGGAAGCGTCCACTCAGCACACTGACATCGCCAGGGCTATGCTTTCTGGTAAGTTCACAACAGGGGCAGGTTCACAGGCAACGTTTAGGTCCGTGGGAATGCTTTCTGCTGCAAGAGTCTGTGGGAACAGGACAGCCCCACACCCCTAGCATGGGGATTTGGAATGGAACCATCTCTACCTGGACCTGCTGTGTGGGCCTGCTTACCCTTGAATGGTGTGCAGGCTTTGATAAAGTCAGTCTGTTGACCCATTGTGTTTGGGGCCCTACAGCTGGAGTGTTTAAAATATGCTGGTTATGACCTGCTGAATTAGTAGGCACATGCTACCCACATGGGGTTGGCGGGTAGCTTCCTCAGCATCCGAGCTCCCACTTTGGGGAAGTGAAAACCTCCAAAGCCATGTTGATTGGAGGTGCAGATTCAGGGCATTCACAGGAAGAAGTCAAGTCACAGGAATGTGTTACTTTCAGATCCCAGAAAAGGAGGGGTGCAGTGAGCTGGGGAAGCTCACAAGCGAGGGGGAGACAGCGGGCACCTGTTACTTGTAAGGTGGGTGGGCCTGAGGTCACTAACTTTTTGTGGGTTCAGTTCTAAGTGGTTATTTTAAAAGGTACCCAGGAAAAGCAAAGTAGGAACTCTGGCAAGTGTGCTGAGCTCCCGGCCTGATGTAAACGTCAGACTCGGGGTGAGCGCAGGGTTGCTGTGCTGGCCTGGGCAGCAGCTCAGCGTGGCTGTCCTCTTATCACACTTGTTTCTCTGGGCACCTTTCCCTTAGAGTGGGCCCTGTCCCTGGCTCGTCTCTGAGGCAGCAGATCCTGGCCGTTGCCAGTCATGTCTGAAGAATGAAATTTACAAATAAAAAATTAGATGAGAAGTGGAATGTTCCATACAGGTAGCATATGAGATTTTTTACATTGCAAAAGATGTGTTCCTTTTTCCTAAAACTTTCTTGGTGATGGATGTGAGCTCCTTATGAATTCCTAAGTCTAGACTCAAGAGAGTTTAAGTTTAAATTGAAGATGAGACAGAAAATCTTTATCTTTTCAGGAGGTGTAGGAGTCTATTTCCTGACTTGTTCCCCAGAATGTAATGCTTCCGGGTCCTTTTAGAACAGTCCTTACATTATTCGTTTAGGAGATTGGCTGGATAGACAATCCACGTGAAAACCTTAGATAATAGTTTTGTTTTTTTTTTTTAAGTGATCTTTACACCCAGCGTGGGGCTCAGACGTAACAACCCTGAGATCAAGAGTCACACGCTTAACCGACTGAGGCAGCAGGCGCCCCAGTTGCTACTTTGTTTTAAGAAAATATCCTTCCCATAAACTTGATTGATTATGAGTATTTCCCTTTAAAATACAGTGACAAGAAGCAAAGTCTGGTTCAGGAGGGGTTTTGGTTGGTTGGGCCAGTGAAGGCTCATGTGTGGGGTGCAGAGCAGGATGAACTGACGTGTTGCTGGGAAGCAGGGCCCCTGCATGATCCACAGCTGTTTGGAGACCACAGTGCATGTAAATACTTGGGTTTTGTGGTTTTCAGATTTTGTGCAGTTGTTTGTTTTGAGAGGATTTCAGAAAAACTCGGATCTGAGAAGTGTGGAGCCTGCACAGATGGCCCAGGTAAGAAGAAAAGTCAAATGGAGTGTCTGAAATTGGCCCGTGACGAAATTGGAAGCTCTTGGACCAGTGACCCCACATTCGTCTATAAGCTTTGATGGGACACTTGTTATTTTCCTGAGGTGCTCCCTGAGTACTATTATTCCCTGTGTCCAGCAGACGTGAGGGAATGGAACAAAGCAGGAATATCTCCTGCCATATTCTGGTTTCCAGAGTTCTTGAGGGTGAAAGCCTTCACCATGGCCCAGAATCGGAGAGCTTTTTACCTGTAGAACTCCTCTGTGCTGACCCCGTGAGCCGTGGGACGGTGGGGCCGTGGGAGGCCAGCAGGAGGCGGCCGGGACCCTGGGCCACGCTGAGAGAGGTCCTGGGGATCACGGCGGATCCTGGCAGAAAGTCTGCCTTTTCACTCTCTCGGGTCTCCCCACTGTCAGGGTATTGTGTGGAGACACTGTCTCATTTTCCTGTAGGGTGACTGCTAGCGTTGTTGGGCGGCACACAGAAGTGAGTAACTGTGCCCTGTGTTCTGCTTTGACAGCTCGCCATGGCCGTGCTTCAGAGGATGCTGATGTGTGAGTCGTCTGCTCCAAACCCCAGACTGCAACAGCTAGTTTGCTTATCAGGGATTCTCAAGGTTTCCTGCCTTTCATCTTCAAGTATTCGCCGGAACTTACCCTCTGCCGTTTCTCCTGGCTTTCAGTTCTTGGTGGCTTTGCGTTTACTGTCCAGAGCTGTAGTTAGGGAAGCATTTTACGGTCTCCGAGTTTTGATTGATTTAAAAGGCTTAGGTCTTTGGTACCGTTGGGATGCTTGGAGGACTTGTACCCTTGGAGGGCATGGGAGGCTGATGAGGTCTGTGACTTGGAAATTGGGGAGCTTTCCTTTCCCAAAGACTCATTACCTGGTTTGTCCAGTGATAGCTGGTCAGGGGTCTTCTTTTTAAAGATTTTACTATTTATTTGACACACAGAGAGAGACAGCTAGAGAGGGAACACAAGCAGGGGGAGTGGGAGAGGGAGAAGCAGACTCCCCGCTGAGCAGGGAGCCCGACGCGGGGCTCGATCCCAGGACCCTGGGATTATGACCTGAGCTGAAGGCAGATGCTCAACGACTGAGCCACCCAGGCGCCCCTGGGGATCATTTTTGATGGATTGTGAGGCTGAGCTGATGTGTTTTCTGTTCCCATTATCTGTTGTCAGTCGCTCTCGAGGCTTTGGCCACCGGGCTGCAGGATGAATCCCCAGCGTACAGGGCAGTGAAGAGCTGGTACGTCCTGGGGGCAGGCCTGCTGGGCATGCTTAGGGGGTGGTGCCTACTATCTTGAAGGTCCTAGGTGAAGTATCAGCAGCTGCGTCCTGCAGATGCTCTCTGCCACTGGGACAGTATCCTTTGAGGACACCTGCTGGAGAGCCCTAGGAGTCCTCTGGTCCGCTGCTCCTTCTGAAGATGAGGCAGGAGGCCGACTGGCCCTCTTCTGCATGAATCCTCTGTCGCCTGGGGGTCTGCACTCGTGTGAGCCCAGATTCCCACCCAGGGCACCCCTGGAATGACCTTCTCACGGTCTGGTCTGTCCTCCTGCCTGCACCGCATGCCCTCTCTTCCCCCTGAGCCTTCTCTCTGCTCGCCAAGGCTGGCTCTCACACTCACCCGTGCTCACGATTTTGCCACATCAGCTTTCTCTCTGCACGGCTCTGTGGAGGTACACGTTAGGACTGGTTGTTGGGGGGGTCGGGTTTGCTTCAGAGTAATGTGGGTGAGGCTGACCTGGAAGCTAGTTCTTTCCTGGAAATCCAGGAGAGTTTTCCAGCATTCCCAGGCCTTGCACATCCCTTCGATCTCTCATTGTTTTGCCGCCGACTGCCTGTATTCCAGTTGCTTTAGTGATCTTCACACGTGCTGTATAATTCAGTACTTCACTTAAACTGTATACAACATTGCTGTTCTCTAAATTTTATGCATTTTTATAACATGCCTGATTGGATTACTTGAACTGATGTCTGAGAGTCAGAGAATGACTATAGATGTATTTGTTTCTTTTTAAATTTCCTTTTTTTTTTTTTTTTTAAGATTGATCTACTAGAGAGAGGGAGCGGGGGGAGAGGGGCAGAGGGAGAGGGAGAGAGAGTCCCAAGCAGACTCCCTACTGAGCGCAGAGCCCGACTCGGGGCTCATTCTCATGACCCTGAGATCATGACCTGAGCTGAAACCAAGAGTCGGACGCCTAACTGACTAAGCCACCCAGGTGCCCCTTTTTAAGTTTCTTTCTTTTTTTTTTTTTTTTAAATTTTTAAAGATTTCATTTATTTGACAGAGAGAGACACAGCGAGAGAGGGGAACACAAGCAGGGGGAGTGGGAGAGGGAGAAGCAGGCCTCCTGCCGAGCAGGGAGCCCGATGCGGGGCTCGATCCCAGGACCCTGGAATCATGACCTGAGCCGAAGGCAGACGCTTAATGACTGAACCACCCAGGCGCCCTAAGTTTCTTAATTAGTTGCCAGTATTTCCAATAAAACCAGGCACTGCCCCCACCGCACCCTGGTCTGGATGGCCAGCCTTCCTGGCACATGGGGTTTGCATCCCGGGTCTGTCCCCCAGGAAGGCTAGCAGCGCCCATGGCCGCCCTTCCTGCCCGGTGTCTCCTCATGGCACGTGTGATGGAGGCTCTTCTCCCTGAGGAATTGGGTAGAGCTTCAGTGACTGACCCTGGTGCACTGAAGTGCCCCCAGGGCCCCGCTGTCAGGCAGCCCCAACACCCTTCATCCCTCCTGCCCCATCAGTGATGTCCTGCCCACTATCCTTAGTCCCTGCCCTGGCACGGGATGTCCTTGGCTTCAGGAACCATTGCTGCATCTCAGTGCCTGTGCATGCCAGGTGCTTTGGGCCAGCCTGGCTGTTGCCCTGCTGCTCCTGATCCCCATTTCACAGATGGACAGACTGAGGCTTTGTGAGGTTTGCACGTTGCTGTGGACTGACCCAGCCTTCTCTTTCCGCTTCCCTACTCCATGGGCAGCTCATTTCTTTTTTTTTTTTTTTTAAGATTTTTATTTATTTGACAGAGAGAGACACAGCGAGAGAGGGAACACAAGCGGGGGAGTGGGAGAGGGAGAAGCAGGCTCCCCGCCGAGCAGGGAGCCCGATGCGGGCTCGATCCCAGGACCCTTAGATCATGACCTGAGCTGAAGGCAGACGCTTAAGGACTGAGCCACCCAGGCGCCCCAGGGCAGCACCTTTCTTATGCGACTTGCCCTTCTTTGAATTTCCTCCCTCCCTCCCTCCCTCCTTCACTCCCTCCTTCCTTCCTTCCTTCCTTCCTTCCTTCCTTCCTTCCTTCCTCCCTCCCTCCCTCCCTCCCGTCCTCCCTCCCTCCCGTCCTCCCGTCCTCCCGTCCTCCCGTCCTCCCGTCCTTCCGTCCTTCCTTCCTTCCTTCCGTCCTTCCTTCAAGAGAGAGCTCAAGCTGGGAGGAGAGGGAGAAGTAGGCTCCCTGCTGAGCAGGGAGCCCGATGTGGTACTCGATCCCAGGACCCTGAGATCATGACCTGAGCTGAAGGCAGACGCTTAAGGACTGAGCCACCCAGGCGCCCCAGGGCAGCTCCTTTCTTATGCGACTTGCCCTTCTTTGAACTTCCTCCCTCCCTCCCTCCTTTACTCCCTCCTTCCTCCCTCCCTCCCTCCCTCCTTTACTCCCTCCTTCCTTCCTCCCTCCCTCCCTCCCTCCTTTACTCCCTCCTTCCTTCCTCCCTCCCTCCCTCCCTCCCTTCCTTCCTCTCTTCCTCCCTTCCTTCCTTCCTTCCGTCCTTCCTTCCAGAGAGAGCTCAAGCTGGGAGGAGAGGGAGAAGCAGGCTTCCTGCTGAGCAGGGAGCCCGATGTGGGACTCGATCCCAGGATCCTGAGATCAGGACCCGAGCCAAAGGCAGATGCTTCCCTGCCGGGGCCACCCAGCGCCGCTGGACTTTTCAAGTCTGTGGCACAGTGGCCTGGCTGAGCGGGGGCTTTAGCGTTATGGGAAGGGCCAGCCAGTGCACCCCCATGAACTGCGAGTTGGGGGCCTTGGGGCCATGCAACCTTGCTGGACAGTAGCCTTTGACAAACTTTGGGGATGTGCATGCGATGCTCTCGGCGCTGCTGGACCTGTTGATGCTGGGTTTTGCAGGTTTGGCGTGTTCTGTGGATGCACGTATGGCGCAGCGGTTTCAGCAGATGTGCCAAAGAGATTTTTCAGTCATACTCTGACTCAGGTGCTAACTCACAAGCCTGTGCTGAGAGGTGGGTTCCAGGATCCGGCTTGTTTGCCTCCCTCCCAGGAGCGTGGGCCCCAAATGTTAGTGCTCTGAGACAGCACGAGACTCGAGGACACGTTATCGTCAAATATCCTTTCGTTCGAAAGTTACACGTTCTCATAAAGAAAATTCAGAATTAACGAAGTATGGGAAGAACTGTCACCCATAGCATCATCAGAATAGAAATAACGTGAAACTTTTCTTGTGGTGTTTTCTCAATAGATTTTGAAAATCTAGTTATCAGACTGTGTTCCTAGATTCTGTTATAAGAAATCATCTATCATAAGCATTTTCTTACGCACAGTTGATCCTTGAATGATGTGGGGGTTAGGGACCCTGACACCCTGTGCAGGTGAAAATCTGCATGTAGCTTTTCGACTTTCCCAAATGTAGCTACTAACAGCCTTCTGGTAAGAAACCCTTGATTAACACGTATTTTGCACGTGACATATACTGTGTACTTACATTGAAGTAAGCTGGAGAAAAGAAAATGACATTCAGACACCATAAGGAAGAGAGTACATTGACAGAACTGTATTGTATTTATTAGGCAAAAACCGCATGTAAGTGGACCCACACATTTCAAATCTGTGTTGTTCAAGGGTCAGCTGTACTTACAGGTTCTTCTCAGAAGTGCTCGTTGCCATGTCACGTACCCACGAGTGTCCTTGGGTTGATGTCACCATCCATTCAGTGACGGTGTTTGCAAGACTTCACTGTTCCTTGGGGACTGAAACGAACACCATGCCCACCGAGCCTTCTCTGTGTGCAGCATTGTGTCCCTGGGCAGGGTCCTCACACAGCACGAGGGAAGCTTCGGGCACGTGCTGTGTCGCACTCTGTGAGGGGCTTGGGCAGGAGCTGGTGCCCCCTCCAGCCAGACACCCTTCCAGCAGCATCCTCGCTGATTGCTTACCCACCGTTAAAGTTGAAAAGCAGCAAAATTAAAATAGAATTGATGGATAAGAAAATACAGCAAATATGGTAAAGGGTTAGCAGCAGGGAACTGGGCCAAAGACACACTTGATAGCAGAAAACGGTTCACAAACAGAAATGTTTGCTAATAATCGAAAAAATGCAAATTGAAACAAGGTAGTTTTTTTGACACCGAAACAAAAGATAGCTTTTCATTATGACTGACTTGACGTTTTTGTCTGTTTTTATTCCTGAATGAAGTTTCTGATGCTGTTCAAATGCAGAGAGATTGGAGCTTCGCGAAGACCCACCCTTTGCTAACCAGCCTGTACCGCAGGGTGGGTGTCGGGCGGCATTCTGCCCTGTGCTCCCGCGCTGGGTGGCACTTGCCACGGGGCTCTGTGGCCCCCCGTCCACGGAGAGTAAGGCCGGCGGGCTCCGCAGACACAGCCGCTCCCGCCTAGACCATGGGGGGCCCAGAGAAGGAACTTACCACTTGGGCAGAACACCTTCTCCTTGAAACGAGAACCCTCCTGCCCACACTGGCCCTGAGGACAGAGGCAGAAGCGTCCCTGAAGTGGGTTGGGGGTGAGGATCCAGCTGCCCAATGAGCGGCTTGTTTTCGACAGCCAAGTTGGGGAACTTGTTTCAGCTCTTCGCGGTACTGCGTCCAGAGGAGTTGCTTGGCCACTTACAAGAAGTTCTGGAGACACGCGAGGTGAACTGGCAGCACGTGCTCTCCTGTGTGTCTACACTGGTGATCTGCTTACCTGAGGCGCAGCAGCTGGTTAAAGGTGCACTTGGGTGGGCACCCCGTGGCGCGTGCGTGCATGTCCTGCTATTTGTGGGTGAGCTTGCAGGCGGGGGTCGCTGCTCCTCTCACCGCCCAGATGGTGCCCTGTGTCTTCTCGTCTGTGCCTTCGTCCGCCTCCCGTCGTCGGCGTGGGGCTGCTCTGGGCGTTCGTGACCTAGCCTCCTAACTGGCGTGCCCTACCCCCAGCAGCTTGCACGCAGGTCCTCGTCTGCCAGCTCTGATGGGTTGTTCCCTCCTAGACTGGGTGGCCCAATTGCTGGCCCGTGCGTTCGAGAGCTGCAACCTGGACAGCATGGTCACCGCGTTCCTGGTGGTGCGTCAGGCTGCGCTGGAGGGCCCCTCTGTGTTCCCATCCTACTCAGACTGGTTCCAGGTGAGCTCCTCCCCCCCTCCCCCCTCCCCTCCATCCTAGGAACAAACGCCTTCCGTGGTCAGGTCTTTTCCTCTCGGCCTCCGCGCGGAGCCCCGTGCTGCCCTGTCCAGGGTTTGGCCCTCCCGTCGTTGCCCCGCGCCTGCCCGATGGGGTCTCTGGTCAGGGCGTGCCGTCAGGCTGTTGCTCCTGCACGATGTGGTGCGCCCAGAGGAGCGCTTCTCAGCTGCCCGGGGCCGCCTCTCTGTTGGCGCCACGTCCATGTTCTTGCCCCGTCTGTGTTGCTGTTCACAGACCTGCAGGGTCCCGCTTCTGAGGAGGCATCTTCCAGACGTCCTCTCTGAAGCTTGGGTGTGGAAAGCTGTCGTGTAAAAAGTTGTCTCTTTGTGGAGCTTTTGGGTTTTCCTGGCACTCTGTGGGTTCTGTAATTGTTGCTTCCTTGTGGGGAGCCCACCTTCCTCCAGTTTGGAGGGCGGCTGCACCGGTGGAAGCCTGACTTGGCCCAGCCTCTGCCGGCCTGGGCTGTTGGTAGACGGGTGGCCATGGTGTTTTCTTTACTTTTCCCGTCAGCCCTGTGTTCGCAGCAGTGGGCTGTCGGCCCAGGGGCACGTGCTGGATGTGCACAGGGCTCTGGCAGTGTCCACAGCCGGGGTACCCTGGGTGGTCATCAGAGCTGCCCTGTGTCCTGTGTCCGCATGTGGTCTCTGTCTGCCAGGAGCTGCGTCCAAGTGATTGGGGCCAACCAGGTGTCCCCCGGGCCTGGGATTTGCTGAGTTCCCAGGGCGACAGAAGGACAGGAATGCTCCTCAGGTGCTAGGTTGATGGCGGGGTGTTTTGGTTTTGTTTTTCCTTTTACCTTTTAAATCAACTTTGTTGAGATATAATTTATATAAAATGCACCCAATTTAAGTGAATGATTTGGTGACTTTGACGGATATTTATGTGTATGTTCAGTGTTTGAAGATCTCTTTTAATCTTTATTTTCAAGAATGTTAATGTAAATAGGCCAATGTAATGATTTTACATTTGAGCCCTTTGGGGTCATGAATTATGGTTCGTAGCTCATCACAGTGTACTTGTAATTTTTCTAATAAGAATAACTGTCTTTTTCCTGGAGTGACATTAAATGCTGTTGCAGCCCCAGATCTGGGGACGTGTCTGTTACTCTAGACACTGGACATAAATACTTCCCATAAACGGTCTCCCCTGGTGGCTCGTTTCTAGTCCTGTTTCCAGGGTGTCATTGAGCCTCACTCTTGACCCAGTGGATGTTGCCAAGAGTCACTAACCCTTCCATGTAGACAGATTAGAGGGAGGGAAATGGTGCCCCTTGTTCTTCGGTGGGAGCTGAATGGTGATGGGGGGCGGTCTTCTTTCCATCTGCTGGCTTTTTTTTTTTAGTTTTTGTTGTAATCACCCAGTGCTCATCACAAGTGTTCTCCTTCATCCCCCTTCTTACTGGACACCAGAGACAAGGGAAACAAAAGCAAAAATAAACTCTTGGGACTTCTTGGTGAGGTTTGTGTTAAATGTATAGATTGCTGGGGCGCTTGGGTGGCTCAGTCAGTTAAGTGTCTGACTTCAACTCAGGTCATGATCCTGGGGTCCTGGGATCGAGCCCCACGTCCGGCTCCCTGCTCAGTGGGGAGCCTGCTTCTCCCTCCCCCTCTGCTGTTCCCCCTGCTTGTGTTCTCTCTTTCTCTCTCACAGATAAATAAATAAAATCTTTTAAAAAAATGAAAAATAAATGTATAGATTGCTTTAATATAGACATTTTAACAGTGTGTTCTTCCACTCCATGACCATGGTATGTCTTTCCATTTATTTGTGTCCTCTTCGATTTCTGTCATCAGTGTTTATAGTTTTCAGAGTACAGGTCTTTCACCTCTTTGGTTAGGTTTATTCCTAGGTATCATAGTGTTTTTGGTGCAGTTGTAAATGTGGTTGTTTTCTTAATTTCTCTCTCTGCTGCATCATTATTAATGTATAGAAATGTAACAGATTTCTGGACATTGATTTTGTATCCTGTGACTTTACTGAATTCGTTTATCAGGTGTAGTAGTTTTTTGGTGGTCTTTTGGGTTTTCTATATATAGTATTGCATCATCTGCAGATAATGAAAGTTTGATTTCTTCCTTGCTGATTTGAATACCATTGATTTCTGTTTGTGGTCTGATTTCTATGCTGGGACTTCTGTCCTGTGTTGAATAAAAGTGGTGAGGGTGGACATCCTTGTCTTGTTCCTGACCTTAGGAGAAGAGACTCTCAGTTTCTCCCTTTTAGGATGATGTCAGCTATGGGTTTCTTACACACAGCCTTTGTATGTTGAGGAATGTTCCCTCTAAACCTACTTTGTTGAGGGTTTTTATCATGAAGGGATGCTGTACTTTGTAAAATGTTTTTTCTGCTTCTATTGAAATGATCATGTGATTCTTAACCTTTCATTGATGTGATGTGTCACATTAATTTGCGAATAGTGAACCACCCTTGTAGCCCCAGAATAAGTCCCACTTGACTGCGGTGAATGATTTTTTTTAATGCATTGTTGGATTCGGTTTGCTAGTATTTTGCTGAGGATTTTTGCATCCTTGTTCATCAGGACTATTGGCCTGTAGTTCTTCCTTAGTGGAGTTTTTCATCTAGTTTTGGTGTCAGGGTAATCCTGGCCTCATAGAACGAATTTGGAAGTTTTCTTCCCTCAGGTTTTTGGAATAGTTTGAGAAGAATAGGTATTAACTAGAAATGTTTGTTAGAATTCACCTGTGAAGCTGTCTGGCCTGGACTTGTGTTGGTGGGGAGTTTTGTTTTGTTTTAAAGATTTTATTTATTTATTTTTTAATCTTTATTTTTTTATTTTTTTAGAGATTTTATTTATTTGACAGAGACAGTGAGAGAGGGAACAGAAGCAGGGGGAGTGGGAGAGGGAGAAGCAGTCTTCCCACGGAGCAGGGAGCCTGATGCGGGGCTCGATCCCAGGACGCTGAGATCATGACCTGAGCTGAAGGCAGTCGCTTGACCAACTGAGCCACCCAGGCGCCCCCTTTTTTTTTTAAAGATTTTATTTATTTATTTGATAGAGCGAAAGAGCACAAGCAGGGGGAGCAGCAGAGGGAGAGGGAGAAGTAGGCCCCCTTCCAATCAGAGAGCCTGATGCGGGACTTGATCCCAGGACCCTGGGATCATGACCTGAGCTGAAGGCAGATGCTTAACCATCTGAGCCACCCAGGCGCCTGGTTGGGAGTTTTTTGATGACTGAATTTCTTTGCTGGGAATCGATCTGTTCAAGTTTTCTATTTTTTCCTGTTTCAGTTTTTGGAGATTATATGTTTCTAGGAATTTATCCATTTCTTCCAGGTTGTCCAATTTGTTGGCATATAGTTTTTCATAATAATGTCTTATAATTGTTTCTATTTCTGTGGTATTGGTTGTTATTTCTCCTCTCTAATTTGTGATTTTGTTTATTGGGGTCCTTTCTCTTTTTTTCTTGATAAGTCTGGCTAGAGATTTTTCATTTTTATTGCCTTTTTTTTTTTTTCCTAAGAACCAGCTCCTGATTTCATTGCTCTCTTCTTTTTTGTTTGTTTGTTTATTGTTTATTTCTGCTCTCATCTTTATTTCTTCCTTCGTTCTGTTGGTTTTAGGTTTTGTTTGTTGTTCCTTTTGTAGCTCCTTTAGGTGTAGGGTTAGGTTGTGTATTTGAGATTTTCCTTGCTTCTTGAAGGCCTGTGTTGCTATAAACTTCCCTCTTAGAACTGCTTTTCTGCATCCCAAAGGTTTTGGACTCTTGTGTGTTCATCTTCATTTGTTTCCATGTACTTTTTTTTCTTCTTCTTCTTTGACTTCTTGCTTGACCCACCCATTCATTTTTCGTAGCATGTTTAACTTCCATTTATTTGTGGTCTTCCCAGATTTTTTCTGGTGGTTGACTTCTAGTTTTATAGTATTGTGGAGTGTGTTCTGTCCGTCTTCAGGTCGAGTTCTGGGGCATTTGGGATGATTTGATTGTTACCTACTTGTGTTTGTGGGACGAGGCAAGCCTCGGGTCCTCCTGCTCTGCTGCCATCTTGCTCTCACCCAGTGGCTTCTTGTGCCTGCACCACCGTCCTATTCAGAGTTCTCTGGGCAGAGACTCCTTGCCGCCCTTCAGGGCCGATGCCCGTTGTAGGATCCCCAGGCACCCTCGGTTCCTGGAAGGGCCGGCTTTTCTCTTGCGGGCTGGGCACTTTCAGCGTCCCGAGGGGTGCTCTCTCGGCCCCCTCCCCTGCGGTGACCTTGTCTCCTCACAGAAGAGTCTGGGAGTTACCGTGGTTCAGAAGTGGCTTCATTGTGTAGAATGTGTTCATTTGTTGAGGAAAGAGCCCTTGTGAGGGCAGCTAATACATTGTGCTCCTCAGGGTCACAAAAAGATCGCACAGTTACTGTTTTCTAGAGGAAGATATTTTTAACTTCTGTTCTCAGTAAATTTTCAGCCCGTCTGCTCGGGCAGGCAGAGCCGGGCGTCACGGGATTACAGGAGCCCGGGTGGCCGTGTCTCCCTTCGGCTTCAGCCGCGGCGCGACGTACCCCCGCGCGGGTGGCGCCGCCCCTCGTGGAGCCGGCCGCTGGCCCTCACGCCCGCCTCTCCCCCCAGGCCTCCTTTGGGAGCACCAGGGGCTTCCACAGTGGCAGCAAGAAGACACTGGTCTTTCTCTTCAAGTTCCTGTCAGACCTCGTGCCCTTTGAGGCTCCCCGGTACATGCAGGTGAGCGGCGGCCCACGCACCCGGGCATCCCGCCGGCCTTGCCCCCTGCACGCCTTCCAGCGAGGGATGTCACTGTGCTCGCGTGTGTGCTGGGAAAATGCCCAGGAGCCGGCCCCTCGTCCGTCCCCGGGGGGTGGTTGGCGACAGCACGCGGCCCCTTGCGAGGCCGCCGGTCTGTGCCAGCTCAGCGGCATGTCAGTGCCCTCTCAGCGGGACGGCATTGTCATGTATGCTAGAGCCCCGTGTTGGCGTTTAAAGGGTCCGTCTTTGTTTTGTTTTGTTGGTAGCCTCAGGTTTTTATTTAAATTCCAGTTAGTTAACGTACACAATGATACAGTTTGTATTGAAGAACCAGACGGATATATTCCAAAGTGCCCGTGGCCATTACTTCCAGACGTGGAAGACATTACACCCTCTATAGAGTTTGCATTTTTAATAATAAATCTGTATGAATCTCATGGTTAAAAATGCCTTACTGCAAGCTTTCTTTTTTAATCAGGTAACTGCCCAGCATTCTTTGAGGGGTAGGGCAGTGGAAACTGATTCTTACTTCTTTTTGTAATTTGGATATTTGCATTACGTTCCAAAGAATACATGTGACCTAAGTGACAAAGAAGCATAGAGAATGTACCATCACCGAGCGAGGCTCAGGATGTACCCCCTGCCCTGAGAGCTTGACCCCTTGTCTCCCTGGGGCTGGGGCACCCCTGTGTTTGTGCAGCAGGGGAGAGATGGGGGCAGTGCCCGGCGGCGCTGGGTGAGGGGCCAGCTCTGTGCGAGGACCCGGCCACACGCTCTCCCTGGGCCGGGATTCTGTCTCTTCCACTCCGGCTTGAGCCCCCGGAGTCTTCGGCTCATCCCTGGAGTTTCCCACCTTTGGTGTAAGCTCAGGTGTCCACAGCGAGCTGTTGCGGCCCCAGAAAGCCACCCCCAGTTCGAGGACTGATGGGGCCCTGCTCTGCCATCTGCCCGCAGGTGCACATTCTCCACCCGCCGCTGGTGCCAAGCAAGTACCGCTCCCTCCTCATGGACTATGTCACGCTGGCCAAGACGCGCCTGGCTGACCTGAAGGCAAGTCGTGGCCTCCCTTCCCCTGCAGCTCCTCAGCCTCTCCCCGCAGAGACCAGTGCCTCATGGTCCCCACCATGTCCCCTATGCAGGTTTCTATGGAAAACATGGGCCTCTACGAGGATCTGTCTTCAGCCAGGGACATCACGGAGGTAACGTCACCTCCGTTTTGCTGCCCCCCTGTGGCCTCTGGCCTGTGCTCACCAGCACAGTCTGATTTCCTGGGACTCTGAGCTGAGCATTTGAGCCTGTTCCATCTGGTGTATCTGGAGGATGGGAGTTAAAGCAAGTTACCGTGTGCAGGACGGTCTTTTAGAGCTTCATTCATGTGGGTTTGCATTGAAGAGGAGGTCTTCAAAACGGGGTTGGAGGAAGATCCTGGGTTTCTAAGAAATGCAGGAAGAAGTGTTAACTGTATTTATGTAAACCAGATGTCAGATGGCTGTATGGTGTGTGTATATGTTATTTTAAGATTCTCTTACTTAGGGGCGCCTGCGTGGCTCAGTCAGTTAAGCGTGACTTCTCTCTGCCTGCCACTCTCCCTGCTCGTGCTCTCTCTCTCTCTCTCATATATAAATGAATAAAATCTTTAAAAAAAAAAAAAAAAAGACTCTTACTTAAAAGATGTGAATGGCCTGAGAGCCCTTACAGCTGCCATGAAAGTGTTAGGTGAATATTTTTAAGTATTTATTTTTTAAAGATTTTATTCATTTATTTGAGAGAGCATTAATGAGGTGAGAGAGGGAGAAGCCAGACTCCCCACAGAGCAGGGAGCCCGATGCGGGGCTCGATCCCGGGACTTCAGGATCATGACCTGAGCCGAAGGCAGACGCTTGACCAACTGAGCCCCCAGGGCACCCCATATTTTTAAGTAATGTAGGTATCTACTTAAGATTCATTGCTGTTGACATGTTGTCATTTCATAGTTTTTTCAGCTCTGCAAAATTAAGTCCCTCCTCCTTCCCACTTCAGAGTCTTTCCTCAGAACGCTGCCTTCTCCTTGAGGGGAGCCAGGAGGGTGGCAGAGGCTCCCAGAGGTGTTGAAGGGTCCCTGGGGCGGCTCGTTGCCAGCAGTCGGTCCCTTTCCGTGGTCTTGCTGGCACTGGTTTGCCCGAACATCCCCTTGCTGTGCCGGCAGCGAGCACATGGCTGTCCGCCTTGAAATGGCAGAGTTGTGGTGCCGAAGGGTAGGCTGATGGCACCCTTCCCTGCTCAGTGTCTATTCCTTCAAATCTTCTGTTCCTTCCCCATCCTCTCTGGGTGGAGCCAGCCCCATGGCCAAGCGCACCAGGATGTGGAGAAGGCCATTGCAGTGTTCGAACATACGGGGAAGGTTCCTGTCGCCGTCATGGAGGCCAGGTAGGGTCATGCTTCTTGGAGTTGTCCCATCTGTCCTCAGACCCATGCGGAGCAGGCTGGCTGTTGTGTGTGTGGGTGACCAAGGGTGGAGGTCCCAGCAGGAGTCCTGGAGTGAGGTGGTGCAGAGCTCTTGCTGTGAAGCTCGGTTTCTTGAGAAAAGCCAGGGGGTATTGTTGAGTAGAGCCCACAGAGAAGGACGAGAATGAGCCTATGGTTGGTTGGTTGGTTGATGTATTTTTAGTTTTAATGATTTTATTTATTTGAGAGCAAGAGAGAATGAGCAGGGAGGAGGAGCAGAGGGGGAGGGAGAAGCAGACTCCTTGCGGAGCAGGGAGCCTGATGTGGGGCTCGTTGACCTGAGCCAAAGGCAGATGCTTGACCGACTGAGCCATCCAGGCATCCCAAGCCCGTGGTTTAATAACGATTTTTAATTTTTTTTTAAAAAGATTTTATTTATTTATTTGACAGAGAGAGACATAGTGAGAGAGGGAACACAAGCAGGGGGAGCGGGAGAGGGAGAAGCAGGCTTCCCAATGAGCAGGGAGCCCGATGTGGGACGCGATCCCAGGACCCTGGGCTCATGACCTGAGCCGAAGGCAGACACTTAACGACTGAGCCACCCAGGCGCCCCAATAACGATTTTTTATTAATGCTTCATGGGTGACCAGTGTGGGGCCAGGACGGAATTGAATAGCAAAATTTTGTTGAATTTGGTGATCCCCAGACATCTGGAACTTTGGTTATTATCAGCGTGGGCAGCTTTTTGAAGGCATCGCTTCTCAGAAATGTGAACTGGCTCAAGGTCCCCTGATTTCTAGCTCAGCCCCAAGGAGAATACCCACGGCTGACCTGAAATGACTAACCCAGATCGCATGGCTGTGCCTCTGGCAGAGTGTCTTCCAGATCCTTGGGATGGAGGGTTGTTGCTTCCCCTTGCATGAAATGTCCCAAAAGAGTGAAAAAGAAGACTAAAAGCAGTAGTATGGGGGCACCTGGGTGGCTCAGTCGGTTGAGTGTCCAACTGTTGATTTTGGCTCAAGTCATGATCTCGGGGTCCTGGGATTGGGCCCCGTGTCCGGCTCTGTGTTCAACGGGGAGTCTGACTGAGACTCTCTCCCTCCCTCTGCCCATTCCCTGACTCGCACGCTCGCACGCACATTCACATTCTCTCTCTGAAATAAATCTTTAAAAAACAAACTGGTGTAATATCACAGTCGTGAGACATGAAATGAGACAACCCACCGGTGCCAGCCTGTGAAATGCAGTGAGCTTCTGTGGGAATGGATGTTTTCATAGTTGTCAGTAAGGTGTTCTAACGCTCCTGTTGTCTGTGACGCCTCTGAACCTGCTCTTCTATGTTGCAGCATCTTCAGGAGACCTTACTACGTGTCTCACTTTCTCCCTGCCCTGCTCACACCTCGAGTGGTCAGTACATGTGGTCACGGACTTGGGGCCCAGGTGGCAGAGAGCAGATGTCTCACTTGAATCCCGTCTTCCCCCACAGCTTCCGAGAACCCCTGATTCCAGAGTGGCCTTGATAGAGTCCCTGAGGAGGTACGCAAGGACACCTGTTTCCAGGAGGGTTTTTGACAAATGCAAAGAATTGTGGTGCTTTTGTAGAGAAATGTGTTTTATTTAATTTATAATAAGATTTTATTTTATTATTATTTTTAAAGATTTTATTTATTCATTTGAGGTAGAGCACAAGCAGGGGGAGCGACAGAGGGAGAAGGAGAAGCAGTCTCTTCACTGAGCAAGGAGCCCAAAGTGGGGCTCAATCCCAGGACCCTGGGATCATGACCTGAGCCGAAGGCAGACGCTTAACCGTTTGAGCCATCCAGGCACCCCTCAAAATTGGTTAAGATTTTAAAAAAGAAAATTAAATCTGAATACCATTTTTCGGTGAACTTTTAGGACTATCATTCTGGGAATTTAAGAAAGTCATGTTATTGGTCCGTAATCATTTTGAAAGGAAAATTTAAGCAAAGAAGGAAAAGAACAGGGAGACATGGAAGCCTCGCCCTACAACAGATTGGGGTAGACCCGGGACTTGCATAGAATATGGAGTCTCGGGCCCCCAGCTCACACTTGACTGGCTTCCCAAGCTTCTCCTTTCTGTAAATCCTGCTTCCTAGTGAAGCTCTTACAACATGATACCCATAAGAAGGTCGAAAAGAGAAAGAGCCTAGAAAGTAAAAGTACACTTTTTCATCTTAAAATAAGACCATTCTCTGGGATCCTTATTTTTATTTATTTATTCATTTATTTATTTATTTTTAAAGATTTTATTTATTTATTTGACAGAGAGATAGAGAGCATAAGTAGGCAGGGAGGCAGGGGGAGGGAGAAACAGGCTTCCCGCTGAGCAGTGAGCCTGATGTGGGGCTCGATCCCAGGACCCCAGGATCATGACCTGAGCAGAAAGCAGCCGCTTAACCAACTGAGCCACCCAGGTGCCCCTTTATTCATTTTTTATATAAAATATTCCAAAAGTACAGAGACCGATGTTAAAAGAACCCATATGCCCCACTCACCATTAATGCTTTACTGCCTTCCCTTTTTTTTTTTTTTTTTTTTTGCTTAAAATAAAACAGTACGAGTATTGTTGAAACCCTTCTCGGGGCGCCTGGGTGGCTCAGTTGGTTAAGCATCTGCCTTTGGCTCAGATTATGATCTCAGGGTCTTGGGATCCAGCCCTGCATTGGGCTCCCTGCTTGCTGGGGAGTCTGCTTCTCCCTCTCCCCACCCCCTGCTTGTGCTCTCTTTTGTGCTCTCGCTATCTCCCTCAAAAAAAAAAAAACAAAACAAAAAACCCTTCTCAGTCCAGCTCCCTGACCCGCTTTCCTTTTTCCCTTTCTAAGGAAACCATTATCCCGAAGTTAATGTATAATCTTTTTTCTATTTTTATTTTATTTTGTTTTATTATTTTTTTTAGTGGGGGGAGGGGCAGAGGGAGAAAGATGCAGGGCTCGATCTCATGACCCTGAGATCATGACCAGAGCCGAAATCAAGAGTCGGATGCTTAACCGACTGAGCCACCCGGCTGCCCCTCTTTTTTCTATGTTTAGTTTTTCTATTACACGTGTTTACAGCTACAAAGGATGTATGTATATGCGCGCACCACACTGTGTCATTCTGCAGCTGGATTTTCACTCATCCTGATGCCCGTGTGCTCTGGGTCACTTACTTAACCACAGCATTGAATTCTGTTCTGCAGCTATGCTGCTGGACTGCACGGCCCCAGGGCCCCGTGGCCTGCAGAATGACTGCCTTAATTGATTTATCCACCCTGTAACAGAACTCTTATGTGAACTCCGATATAATGTTTTAGTAGTGCTTCGGTGAGCATCCTTGGATGAATCTCCATGAAAGCTCAGAATCTTTAGTGGAATTTCCTTAATTTGATAGATTAATTTGTGGATAGTTGACTTTGTTATAACTTTTTCCTCCCATGAACACAGTATATCTATTTAAGGCTTTCAGTAGTAGATTTTTCTGTCTTGTAAATTTTTTGTTCAATATACTACTAGGTACTTAGATTTTGTTGCTGTGAAAAGCATATTACTTTTTTTGGTTCAACCCTGCTGAACTTACTTCTAGTAGCTGGTTAGTAGATTTCTTTTTTGTAGATAATCACATATCTATAAGAATAACAGTTTGTCTTTTCCTTTTTCATCTTTATACCTCTTCATTTTTGTCTTACGTATTGGGTAGGCTTTTTAGTATAATATGAAATTGTAGGAATACGAAGCTGTCTTGTTCCTGACTCAAATAGGAATGCTTCTAAAATTTTACCAATACTTTTATTTGCTGTAGTCTCCATATATTTTCATATGCTTTTTACGATATTAAGAAAGTTCCCGCTGTATGAATTTGCTAAGGACTTTTAGCATGAATTAATGCTTTTGTTGCATCTCTTAAAATGGTTTTTTGCTGTTCTGTAATCTGTTATAGGATAGATTACATTGATTTTTTCACTGTCCTTGCATTCTGGATCATTTCCTACTTGGTAATGATTTTTTTATTACAGAGGCTGTTGTATTTGAATTAGTGATACTTTATTTAGGATTTTTGTATCTATGTCTCATACTTTTTCACTCATCTTGGCTGCTTTGACATCAAGGTTGTAGTACCTCATGAAATGAATTGGATGGCCTTCCCTCTTTCCTGTCTCCTAAAACAGTCCATATAACAGGGATTCTGTGTTCCTTTAAGTTTGGTAAAACTTGGCTATAAAATCGGGGCACCTGGGTGGCTCAGTCGGTTGGGTGTCTGCCTTCAGCTCAGGTCATGATCCTGGGGTCCTGGGATTGAGTCCCGCATCGGGCTCCCTGCTCAGCGGGAAGCCTGCTTCTCCCTCTCCCACTCCCCCTGCTTGTGTTCCTGCTGTCGCTCTCTCTCTCTCTCTGTCAAATAAATAAAATCTTAAAAAACAAAAAAAAAACTTGGCTATAAAATCATCTGTTCCTGGTATCTATTTTCGAGGCAGGCTCTTGACAACTGATTCAGTTTCTTGAATGTTTATTGGTTTAATCAGGTTTTTTATTTCTCCTTGAGTTAGTTGTATGTTTCTAGAAAACCATGTGTTTCATCTAAATTTTCAATTTACTGACATAGCATTGTCAGTAAATCCTATATATATATTTTAAGTAGGCTCCATGCCTGATTTGGGGCTTGAATTCACAACCCTGAGATTAAGACCTGAGCTGAGATCAAGAGTCGGATGTTTAACTGACTGGGCCACCCGGCGCCCCTCTTTCCTTTCTTTTTTTTTTTCTTTTGTAATTCCTGCTAGTGTTAATTTTGCCCTTTCTTTGTGACTCTCTCTTGTTAGAGATTTGTCTGTTGTATTAATTTTATCACATAACTACTTTTTGGTATTACCATACCTGCTGATGTATTTTTTATCTTCTATTTCATTGCTTTTATTTATTTATTTTTTATTTTTTAATTTTATTTTTTTTAAGATCTTATTTATTTGACAGAGACACAGCAAGAGAGGGAACACAAGCAGGGGGAGTGGGAGAGGTAGAAGCAGGCTTCCTGTGGAGCAGGGAGCCCGATGCGGGGCTTGATCCCAGGACCCTGGGATCATGACCTGAACCAAAAGGCAGTCGCTTAACGTCTGAGCCACCCAGGTGCCCCCTTTTTATAGGTTCTTTTTTTTTTTTTAAGATTTTATTTATTTATTTGAGAGAGAGAATGAGAGAGAGCACATGAGGGGGGGAGGGTCAGAGGGAGAAGCAGACTCCCTGCCGAGCAGGGAGCCTGACGTGGGACTCGATCCAGGGACTCGATCCAGGGACTCCAGGATCATGACCTGAGCCGAAGGCAGTCGCTTAACCAACTGAGCCACCCAGGCGCCCCTTTTTATAGGTTCTTAAACTGGTTGTTTAACTCAGTGTTTTATAATCTTTCTTGTGTTTTAATACAGGTATGTCTTAATAAATTCTACCTCTGTTACTTTAATGCCTTCCAAAAGTTTCAGTATATAGTTTTTAGATTGTCATTTAGTTACAAAATTTTATTACTTGTGTTATGATTTTCGTATAATTTTTAGTTGTAAATGAACTGAAAAATTTTCCAATCATATAGGTGTTTGTTCCTGAGCTTTTATTGTTGATTTCTAGTTATATTATTTTCAAAGAATATGATTAGCTTTTTATGAATTTTTATTAAATTAAGACTTTGTCATAGACTATATACATGTTCAGCATTTGTAAACATTCCCTGAATATTCTTTAATTTGGAGGTGTAGGGTCTGTCTGTTACATTGTACTTGTTCTTGAGTTTCCTGTATCCTGACCAGTTTTCTGTCACTTTGGTTTATCAGTTTATTATGGATGTTGTTGTGGTTTTGTCATTTTCTCCTTGTAATTCTGTCAGATTTGTGTTTATGTATTTTGAAGCCTATTTTATCAGTTGTATACAAGTTTATGATTGTTAAAGCCTTCAAAATATAGCCTTCTTTTTGGATATTTTTTCATTCATTATTATGTAATGTCTTTATTAGGCTTTATTTATCAGGCTGTTAATGCCAGCTTTTTTTCCTTTTTTTTCTTTTTGGTATTTGCATGGTATGGCTTCCTCATTCGTTGACATTTATTTCTAGGCTTTAAAAAATTGTTTTTGGGGGTGCCTGGGTGGCTCAGTTAGTGAAGAGTCTGCCTTCAGCTCAGTTCATGATCTCAGGGTCCTGGGATTGAGTCCCATGTCAGGCTCCCTGCTCAGTGGGGAGTCTGTCTTCCCACCCATCCCACACCCCACCTCCCCACCCCTGCTTGTTCTCCCTCCTCCCCCTACTCATGCTCTCTTTCTCAAATAAATAAATAAAATCTTTTAAAAAATTGTTTTTGTCATAGTCAAATAAGGATGTAAATTAAAGTGTCAGCTCTATAAAGTTTATGAGGAGAAACAGCCATTCCCCCCCCCCTCCCTGCCACTTCTTTTTCTCCAGAGGCAAGCATTTTCAACTCTTTTTTTTTTAAGATTTTATTTATTTATTTGACAGAGAGATAACACAAGTAGGCAGAGTGGCAGGCAGAGTTAGAGGGAGAAGCAGTCTTTCCACTGAGCAGGGAGCCGGATGTGGGGCTCGATCCCAGGACCCCAGGATCATGATCTGAGCTGAAGGCCAGCTGCTTAACCAACTGAGCCACCCAGGTGCCCCACATTTTCAACTCTTAACTGATTTTTTATATTTATCTCTATATATCTTCTTTTCTTTCTTTCTTTCTTTTTTTTTTGGACAGCTTATTCAGCACTCACATTTGGTAGGTAGTTTTGTGGGGTATAGAAATCTGGGTTGGAAATACTTTTCCTCGAATTTTTTAAAGTATTGCTCCATTGATGTCTAGCTTCTAGGGTTGATGTTGAGATATTATGTTTCTGATTCTTTGCATGTGACCTGTGTTTTACTCTCTGGAGACTTGCAGTATCTTTGTTGTTCCCTGTGTTCTGAAATTTTACAGCTGTGTATTTTGGTGTGCATCTAATTTCATTTCTTGGCTAGGCAGAAGGTGGGCCTTTTAATCTGGAAATTCATGTCCTTCGGTACTAAGAAATTTTCTCAGATATTTTAAAATCTTTGGTTAATGAAAAATTTAGGACAGAAAATAGAATAGTATTTATGTGGCACTCACATGCCCCTGCCCCCCCACCACTCTGGGTTGTTTGGAAGCAAACCCCAGGCCCAGATGATATCATTAGCTTGTTTCATGCAGGTCTCCTTTCCCGTGTGGCTTCTTCCTGCAGCTCCCACTTCCCAGACATTGGATCGCCAGGATTGTCTTCCGACTTGTTCTCTGTCACATTTTGCATATCTGGTTTTTTGGGTGTTATTTTCTCCTCTTTCAGGGGGATTTCTTCCAGTTTATCTGCCCGACCCTTCTCTCACTGTCCTTAGCTCTCTGAGGATGAGTGGTGTCTGAAATGTTCTTTTCTGTGGATTGCTCCATTTCCTCAGATTTGCTCTTTCTTTTTCTTTGCATTGGTTTCTAATCCTGAAGCTCATGGTTTTCCAGTCCCCGGGTGCATGGTGTGCTCCCCTCTGCGGGCCGTCCTCTGCCTCGCTGCGGCCTGTAGTGGGACTCCCGCCCTGGGGCCCATCCATCTCCTTCCTTTCCCTGGCCATCGTTTGGGTTTGCAGCACCGTGGGGCGGGCTGCCCTCCTGCCTCACTGCTCATTTTGAGACTTGGTGTCCTGTAGGCCACGCGACTGCACGTGTCCCATACCTGGGCTGCCACTCGGTGGTTCCTGCTCCTCTGAACGTCCTTATCACAGGACTTTGTTCTATAATTCTGTGTATTTTTAATGACATAAATTGGGTGTTTTTCTCAGTATTACTCATTAAAAGTAGTTATAAGGTCATTAAAAAAATTTGGAAATTACTCGAACTTTAATGAGAGAAGTAAAAATCATTTATAATCTCACTATCCTAAGGCAACCACATTGGCAGATAGTTGTATATGACAAGTTATGAACACTAAGGACCATTTGATTCATGTAATGGTTTTTTTTTTTTTTTTTTTTCTAAAAACAGGGTCATACTATAAGGTATGGATAATAGACTATACCATGTATTTTTGTTTTATGATAGTTTTTGGAATTGTGAGCTTGAGAACTAATTTGAGTCACAACTGACTTGGTTTTCATGTTTTCTCCTGACCCAGGGCAGATAAAATTCCCCCGTCTCTGTATTCCACCTACTGCCAAGCCTGCTCCACTGCGGAAGAGAAGAAACCAGAACGTAAGGTTAATGGGTCTGTCTGTCCCCAGGACGGGTACCCTTCTGCCTCCCTGGTCAGGCTCGGTCTGGCTCAGTCAGGACGGACCCCCCAGCCCAGAGGCCCTGGAAAGGTACCTGACAGGGCATCTCCCTGACGTGCTGCCCGAGGCTGTGATGTGCCTCTGCTTGCCTGTCCTGATTCGGGCGACCTGTCAGACAAGGCTGCCAGGCTTGAGGCCTGCAGTGTTGATTCTGAAGTGGGCTGTCATGGGAGGTCTGCTCCTTGGGACGGTTGAGTTCGTCTGTAGTGCGTTGGGGATTGCTCAGCTCATGGGGATCAGTGCTATAGACCTAGGTCTGACCTGCGACAGTGTGCGTGAGACAGCAGTGCTTAGAGCCCCTGGGCAGCCTTGCTGGCGTGTTCCCACCTATCCCATTGTCTCTGCCAACAGGGCGGTGGTGGGAGGCCCATCCGGAGGAGGGCCTGGTTCCTTAGCAGTGTCACGTGGTTTCAATCCTCGGACCTTTCCAGGGCCAGCTGGGCTGAATGAGGCTGTGTTTTCTAGTTCTATCTCCCAAAACCCTTCCTTTTTTACATGCTTGGATGATTTCTCACAGCCACGGAGACTGAGAAAACTTGGGTGGGCAAAGAATGAAGGTCCCAGGTCTCACACTTGTTTTTACCATTATTGAAACAACTCACCTCCGTGATGGGGATGCCAGGGAGACTGTAGGACTGTGTCCAGTATGTGGGAGGCATGCTCCTCCCTACCCAGCCCCCTGGCCCTGCCCTGGGGGCCTTGAGAATGTTTTCTGTACTTTATCTGGCAGAGCTTATAAAAGAAGCCTTACAATTTCTAGTTTTATCGTGGTGTCTACCTTGTAAGGCTCACTGCATGTACCCATTTCTTCTCCAGTGGCCCCAGAACTTGAACTTGTTTTGCTTTTAAAGCATGTAGTGTACCTTTTTTTTTTTTTTTAAGATTTTATTTATTTATTTGAGAGAAAGCACAAGAGCATGAGCAGGGGGAGGGGCAGAGGCAGAGGGAGAAGCAGGCTCCCCGCTGAGCAGGGAGCCCGATGTGGGGCTCGATCCCAGGACCCTCGGGTCATGGCGCTTAACCGACTGAGCCACCCAGGCCCCTTTGCCTTCCTTTTTATAATGAAAATGGTATTTTGGGCATGCCTGGCTGGCTCAGTCAGGGGAGCATGCGAATCTTGATCTCAGGATTGTGAGTTCCAACTCCAAGTTGGGTATAGAGCTTAACATTAAAAAAGGAAAAAGAAAGAAAGAAAAATTGTGTTTGAAGAAAAATTTTTTTTAAGAGAGCGCGAGCACATGTGCAAACAGGGAGGGGCAGAGGGAGAGAAAGAATCTTTTTTTTTTTTTTTAAGATTTTATTTATTTATTTGACAGAGACAGACACAGCGAGAGAGGGAACACAAACAGGGGGAGTGGGAGAGGGGGAAGCAGGCTTCCTGCTGAGCAGGGAGCCTGATGCGGGACTCGATCCCAGGACCCTGGGATCATGACCTGAGCCGAAGGCAGACGCTTAACGACTGAGCCACCCAGGCGCCCCGAGAGAAAGAATCTTAAGCAGGCTCCACATCCAGTGTGGAACCCACCATGGGGCTTGATCTCACGACCCTGAGATCATGATCTGAGCCGAAATCAAAAGTTGGATGCCTAACCAGCTGAGCCCCCCAGGCGCCTCAAGAAACATTTTTCTTTTACAAATTTGTGATCAGATCTAATCTTTTTTCGTAAATCTATGAAATATATCTTGAGAACTGGTAATCATCTGTTGTATACTAATTCTTAGCTTTTTTCTTTACATCTTATTTTTTTTAACATCCTGTTAAAAGAACAGTATGACAATGTTAATTACAAGTTTGAGAAATGGAATAAATTGTCACCCATCCACAATCCTGTCTCCCCACCCAGACCCCCTCACCATGCTTCTGGTTCTTTTTCTTTACATACGTGTTTTTCACTTTTATAGCATGTTGTGCATAGAACCATGTTTTTCCTTAAACATTGATAAACACGTTTCTGATACGATGATCAGTGCCCAGCAGCGCGGCACCTCGTCTGGGGCCTCTGTCTGCCCTTCTCACGGAGGAGCCACGTCCAGTTGTGTGTGTCCTGTCCTCTCCCAGGTGCAGCCCCAGGGATGAAGGCGGAAGCCGGGGGCTGTGCGGAAGAACCGCTGGGACCACTCGCCGCTGCCCTGAGAGAGCTCAGAGCCGCCATGACAGACCCCTCTCAGTATGACGGTGAGGGCCTGGCTGTGGGCAGGGCGATCTGCAGCGGGTGCCCGTGGGCTGAGTGGGCATCCAGCCGCGCCCGAGCTCAGGTCAGCCTGACCGCAGCGCCGGCGGGTGCTGGACGGGAGACGGGTCCGTCGTCAGACCGTCCCAGAGCCTTAGCAGAGATGAACACTCTGCGGTTTGACACCCCAGCAGGCCAGGTGGTGGAGAGGGGCGAGCCGGCGTTCCTCGGCTGTGCTGAGGCGGAGACGCAGGCCCTTGGCCTCTGCTTCTGTACGACCGGTCCCTGTCACCCGGCGCGTCGCCGGTGCTCATTCGTGGAGGGAGAGTGTGGACGGTTCACGTCACGTAGTAGTGCACGGCGGTCCGTAAAATGAAACACTAACTTCTCCTACTCAAGAGATTGTTGTTGGGAAAAATGGAGAATCTGAAGTAAATCGTATTTTTATCCAGGAAGTGTAATAGGTTTTTATATATTATGAATCCATTGTACTCAAACCAGGACAGGACGCCCTGTGAGAGCCTCCCAGAGGAGATGCTGATAACGCCCTTAGTGCCCCTGCTCCTGGCGCACAGGGTCCCAGGGCCCGTGGCCTCTCAGAGCTGTGCTCCTGCGAGTTGGGCGTGTGGGGACGGCGAGGCTGGGGCGGAACCCCGGGGCTTCAGCAGGATTGCCGACGCGTCAGGTCGGCCTCGTCCCTAGCAGCAGATTGCCGTTTCCAGCGGGCACGGTTGGCCCACTTGTCCCCTGGCCTCTGGCGCCGCGGCTGATGGTGGGATGTGGAGCCTCGGGCAGAATGTGCATAAATGAGGTCTGTGGTGGGGAAGGAACACATGGACCCCTCAGAGAACCCATCGAAAGGCCGTGGACGGCCCCTGTCCCCGCTCTGCCCCACCTCGTGCCCGCGCACCGTCTCAGCAGTGCCACCTGCCGTGTGGGAAAAGCAGTTTGCACCACGTGGCTGCTGGGTGTGCGCGGCCCCGGCTTTTAGTGCAGGTGTGGCCCCCGGAATGGGGGCTGGGCTGCTTCTCCTGCAGAGCCGGCCCCCGGGTGCGGTCGGGGGTGGGCGTCAGCGGCTTTCCTGGGCAGCTCACCGTGTTTCTCCATTTGCAGTTCTTTCCGCTCACATGGCAGTTGTCTCTGAACGGCTCAGCTCCACCCTGGGCCTGGGCGAGGAGGACGGCAGCTTGGAGGTATCGCAGGTCCAGCTCAGCATCATGGCTCCACACCTGGAGCACCAGGAACAGGAGGTGAGTGCAGGCTGTCGAGCCGGGATGGACTGCAGACAGTGCTCGGTGCACAGTTCTCCTCCCCAGGAAACCAGACATCCAGGAGCTGGGCATGCTAGGCCCAGGGTCAGCCAGGCCCGGCCTCTTTGTGTACAGACTCTTTAAATGTCTAAAGAGCGTGCAGCAGATGCTCTTTGTGGCCCCAAAGCCTGAAACTGTTCACTCTCTGGGGCTGTATAGACGAGGTGTGCTGACCCTGTTCCCTGTTGTGAAGGTTCGTGGCTGGGACTGTGGGACTGTGGGACTGCTGGCCCGCCATCCTTGAGGATTTGGGAGTGGGGTTCGGCTGCCGGTCAGCATGATTGTTTCCTCAGAGGCGTAAACAGTCCGGCTCATGCACCTTGCTCTCCGGGACTCTGTGCCCTCAGTGACCATTTATCTCTCAGATCGCGGACCTCCTGTTGACGTCTTTCTGTCAGAACCTGATCGCAGCCTCCAGCTTCGCCCCACCAGACAGGTAGGGGCTGGTGATTCTCACTGGGTGGTGTGGAGCTATGTGTGGGGTGGCCTGGGTGCTCGGAGCAGGCCTCCCTGGTGGAGGGGAGTTCCTCCCTGTCTTCCCTGACGAGGACGGGGAGCAAGGCTGCCATCCCTAGTCCAGCTCTGATCCTGGGTCCTGGGTCCTGCCTTCTGCCTTATGTACTGGTTGGGGGTCCCAGGCGGGGTGGAGGGGCCGTGCTGACTTTTATCAGGTGCAGACACGGCAGAGGTTAAGCATCACCACGGGAGACCCCACTGTTGGGGGAGCAGCCCGGGTCTTTCTGAGGCCTCCTGGGCGTGAGTGCTCATGCAGCAGAGCCCGTGGGAGGGCCGTGCAGGGCCCGGACTGGCCGGACTGCTGGTCTCGGCGGCTCTGTCTGCAGGCAGGGCCCCTGGGCTGCTCGCTTCATGACAGCCATGTGTGGACGCAGGCTCCTCCCTGTTGTGCTCACCCGGCTCTGCCAACTACTCCGTCACCAGGTAGGGCTGCTGCCTCCTCCGTCTGGGAAGTGGGCTCCGCCCTCCTTGCTGGAGAATCACTGTCTCCCGTTTCAGGGCCCAAGCCTGAGTGCCTCCCACGTGCTGGGCCTGGCTGCCCTGGTCGTCCACCTGGGCGAGTCCAGGTCTGCGCTCCCAGAGGTGCACGTGGGTTTTCCTGCCCCTGCCAAGAGCCTCCCCATCCCAGAGTTCTTCAGTAGCCTCCTGACGTTTGGAACCGCTGAGACCTCGCTCTTCTGCCTGAAGTGAGCTGCCCCTCCCGCCTCTCCCCTCTCCACAAAGTAGCACATTCTCATCATATAAAACTGGCCAACACACACGCTCCGTAGGTGATCACTCCTTAACATTTGGTATATGTCTCTCCAGAGTCTTTTATGTCGTGTGTATTTGTGTGTATTTCTTAGTTTAAAAAAATGAGATCATATTACCTTAAAAGCTGCCTTTTAAGACATTAACAGTAGACCGTAGCCATCCTTCCATGTTGTTCAGCCATCTTCTGTTGGGGCGGGTGTTACTGGGTTTTGTCTTGGGGGCGCCTGGCATCCGGTTGGACCCGTCCCTCTGGCTGGGTTGCTGGGCTTCCCTGTGGTGAGTAGCTGTTTCTGTGGGGTAAGTTCCTGCACATGGAGTTGCCCAGTCCAAAGCAACTCATCTGCAGGGGTTTTGAGACCCATCATTCTAGAAGTTTGTGCTAGTATCCACCCCCACGCTTCCCTTATACACCACTGTGGGTCAGACCCATTCCAGGAACCAAATCCCTGCCCTTCTGTGTGGGGGCATCTGGCAAGTGGATAGCGTGGCGCATGTGGGGTGATAGGTGCTGGGAGAGGTGGGCTGGTGTCAGTGAGCGCGGCCGCCCACCCCAGGGAGGGCAGGGATGGGTCCCCACGTGCTGAGGGCCGGCCCCTGGGAGGCTAGACTTACTCGGTCCCGGGGTGAATGGACGGAGGGTCAGGGAGGAAGCCAGGAGGCTCCAGTGGGTTGTTTGCTGGGACTGGGATTGCGGTTCATGGACAGAACTGACGGAAAGGCATAAGGAATTAGAGCGCGGAGAGACAGGCACTAGAATGCCTGCCTTGGACCCCTGAGCCCTCCACAGTGGGAGGCAGAGCCGTCCAGCCTCTTACAGGCTTTTGGCAACACCGAGAGCCCCCACTGGCAGTCAGTCCTGAAGGTGCCCTGGTCCCCCTTCCTTCCCTGGCACCTTCCTGACTTCCCCTAGGCCCCGGGGTCGGTCTCTTCGACACTTGACAACCCGGGCAAGGGCCTCCCCTAAGGCTGAGTTTAAAATTGGGCCTGCTTGTGCCTGGTTCCGCAGACTTCTTTCAGGAAGGAGCAGTGAACGGGTGATGGTACGTCAGAAGCACTCCCAGCCACATCTGACTTGATTGCTTTTGTTCTGGCCGTGACTCTACGTGCGGCGAGAGCAAGCCCATACTCGCACAGTCTGACTGTTGCGGGGTTTTCTGGGTCTGGGCCTTCAGTGTGGACGGAGCTCAGACCCATGGGTGTGACAACGGGAGTCGGGTCCCGAGGGCTCGGGAGCCGGCCTGGCCCAGAGCTGAGGCCAAGACTAACCCTCTGGACATCTGGTTTAGAATGCAGTCAGATCCCTTTTGTGAAATTCACACTTATATTTATTTCATCCCGTATGTTGCATGCATCACATTTCTACATTCTGTTTTCTGCTTTCAGATTTTGTACAGCGGCGATTTCTTACTTTTTGTGTAAGTCTTCTTCCCTGTCGCAAGATATTTTGTACAGCTGCTTATCTCCAGCCCTCATGAAAAAGGTAGGTCTGTCACTTCCCTTTCTCCATTCTGTGAATCTCCAGTTTCATGCAGGTTTCTAGCGAAGGTCCAGTTGTCTGCTCTCTCCCTGCCCACATCTCTGCACACTGTGCTCCCGGTGTATCGGACTGTCTCCTGGGAGCTGCCTCAGCTGTTTGCTGGGGCTGAAACTGCCTTTTTCTTCTGTTCTCAGACTTAAGATGAAGGGGGGCTGCAAGATGACAAAGGCTACAAATGTTCCTCCTTTTTTTAATAAAGAAACAGATACTGATTTTTGTAAAGTTGGTATGTTAAAAGATAAATATTCATGAAAAGTATCTTTCTATTTAAAAAAGAATTCTGATGTTCTCAGAAGACTTATCTCATCTATTGAATGTTGTATTTATTTACAGGACCAGAGAAATTTAAAGATCTTATTTATTAGAGAGAGAGAGAGAGCACGCGCAAGAGTTGGGGGAGGGGCAGAGGGAGAGAGAGAACCTCAAGCCGACTCTGAACTGAGCACGGGGCCCGATGTGGGGCTTGATCTCACGACCCTGAGATCATGACCTGAGTCAAAATCAAGAGTTGGATGCTTGGGGCGCCTGGGTGGCTCAATTGTTAAGTGTCTGCCTTCGGCTCAGGTCATGACCCCAGGGTCCTGGGATCGAGCCCCACATCGGGCTCCCTGCTTCACGGGAAGCCTGCTTCTCCCTCTCCCACTCCCCCTGCTTGTGTTCCCTCTCTCGCTATGTCTCTCTCTCCATCAAATAAATAAATAAAATCTTTAAAAAAAAAAAAAAGAGTTGGATGCTTAACTGACTGAGCCACCCAGGTGCCCCAAGACCAGAGAAATTTAAAGATGTGTGTCAGAAACCTTCGGTGGCAAAAGTGAACTTGGAGTGAGAACGGAAACCAGTGTGATTCCTTTGGTGGAGTTTTAAGGAACATCTTGTGAAGTTGAACCGCAGATCTGAGTTCCAGGCTCCACATTAGAATCCACTGAGAAGCCCTGGTCCTGCCCGCGGGTTAAGCGCCGTCGGGACACCCATATGCTCCCATCATTGGTGTCGGGACACCCGTGTGCTCCCATCATTGGTGTTGAGGAGCTTAGTCCCAGGTGCCCACAGTGTGAAGCATGGAACAGAGATTAGGAGAGGCGGCCCAGACAAGTTTCCAGTCCCATCTTGCCAAATTCTGAGGGGGGTCCCAGTGCCCTCCCCTGGTCCCCCCGAGTAGCTCCTAATGGCAAACGTACATGAACTCATGGACATTCTTGTGCTTATCCAGTTGGCACCCTCCTAGAGTGGGAAGACCAGTGCCAGCAACGGGCTGGGAAGACCGCCGGCCGCCGTGGTGGGCGACCATTTAGAGCCAGCAGTTCTGCCTTTGGGGGTTGCGCCCCGGGAGACAGATGTGCACCAAGATTGGCAGACTGCGCTGGTCACTGGGACGCCGTCGGTAGCTGAATGCAGGGCGCCCAGAGTGCCCCATGAGGGGTTCGCCGGGTCACTCCAGGTGTCCACAGGGTCTCCACGCTGCCCTGCCCTGCAGCACACAGCCAGTTTTCCGTCTCTCTCCAGTTCCAGTTCGTTACACTCAGACTGTTCTCAGAAGCCCGGGAACCGCCCTCTCAGGAGCACCCAGCCAGCCTTCCCTGGAGACTCCTGTGCCTGCCGACTGCCGACTGGCAGCGAGCCGCCCTGTGTCTGTGGAAACAGAGAACCTTCCAGGAACTGTTGAAGCAGAAAGAATTTCACGTAGGTCCCACTGCCCCTTTTCCTGCTTCTCGCCTCGTCCTAACGCACAGGGTCTTGCGGGTAGCTGTGGGGTTTCCTGAGGACGTGGTGGGCAGGCAGGCGGGCCTGACGCTGGAGCAGCGCAGAAGTGGCTTGGGTGGAAGTCGTTGCTGGTCCCACTGCAGAGTCACACGTACTTGTAATTTCTTAAGACAGAAAGATCATGTCTACTCTGCCCCGTTTCCCGAGCACTAACGTTTTAAGGGTGAATATAAATGTATCTGGAACATACCTGCCAGGCTGCAATTTGGGGTCGCACTTCTCTGAGCATAGTCCCGGGGAGCCTTGGCCTGCTTCAGCCAACATGCCTGTGTTACTAGTCTGCTACCTTTTCATAACTTTTCGTTTACTCGCCTGGATCTTGGTCTGCTTATTTTGGTCCTTAGAGAAAAAATTCTCAGTCGTTTTATTATACATTCAGTTCTTTCATTAATTGTATCAGTTACCCCAGAGCAGGTGCGACCGTGTTTGCTGAGCATAGTAAGTGATGCTGGTGCCATGGGGAACGCTCGCCGCCCACACGCAGCTTGGCGGGTGTCTCAGCGGGCCGCCGCCCTCGGCGTCCGGGCGATCGGGGACGTGCTGCTCTTGGGTTCCCGTGCGTCTGTCCCCGAGCAAGGGACTGCTCTGTATTGCCAGGCTTTGGTATCTACAGACAGGGAGCGCGCTGCACACGTGTTTGGGATGTGCTCTTAGAGTGTGAGGCTTGAGGTTAGTCCGCGTTGATGAGTGAAACCGTTCCAAGAATTGTAAAATAAGAAATACGCTACCATGAGTATTTGAAACACCTTATTACATGGAGTGTATTCTTCTGTTACTTTGCCCAACTCCACCGAACCGGGAAACGATTTCTTTCCCGGTTTTGTGCAGTAACCTGAGCGGTTTGCAGAGGCCACAGGTCAGCTGTTCGACACCAGGCGGTGTGTTCGAGAATTCAGTTTCAGAGTACCAGTTTGAACGGTTCTGGGGAGCTTCAGGTTCAGAGTTAGATTAAGCAACATCTGAGTTCCCCGTCAGGGCTTGGTGCCAGGACCTCAGTCTGACGGCGGGAAGCGGCGTGAGCATAGAGGCCAGCGTAGGCCCAGCTGCCCTCCTGTGAGGCTTCCAGCCGTGACGCCCGCGGTCGCGGAGCGGTGACAGCAGACTGTTTCCGAGCTGACTTGTCTCTGTGTCCCGTCCGCACTGTCTGTTCATGTCGTCCTTTTCTCTCAGTTAACTTACAGAGACTGGTTACAGCTGGAACTGGAAATTCAACCTGAATTTGATTCTCTTTCACATACGGAAAGGTAAGTGTTGAAAGGGTTCTGCCTTGGGGCGCATCTGACTCTTGATTTTGGCTCAGGTCACGATCTCAGGGTCCTGGGACCGAGCCGGGTCGGGCTCCGTGCTCAGTGGGGAGTCGGCTTCTCCCTCTGATCCTTCTCCCCGCACCCCCCCGCCCACTGTGCACACGCACTCTCTCAAATAAGTAAAATCTTAAAAGGGGGGGGGTCTGCCTTTCAAAATGCTGTCAGGTTTTCTGCATCAGTCTTGAAATCTAAGTCTTCTCATTATATCCTCAATGTTCAGTTTAACAATGTTCATAACCTATGAGCAGAGTTTCATGCATTCATTCCTTAATTCAAGAAACATTTATTGAGTTCCTCCTGTTTGCCAAGCACTTCTAGAATTTTTTTTTTTTTTTAATTTTATTTATTCATTTGAGACACAGAGATAGAGAGAGAGAGAGAGAGAAAGCATGAGCAGGGAGAGGCAGAGGGAGAGGGAGAAGCAGGCTCCTCACTGAGCCAGGAGCCCGATATGGGACTCGATCCCAGGACCCTGGGACCATGACCTGAGCTGAAGGCAGATGCTCAACCATCTGAGCCACCCAGGCGCCCCTTCTAGAATGTTCTTGAAAGTGGGGGTGCATTGTGATAAGACAAGCCTGCCCTATGGCACCTCTGTGCAGACAGGGGCACTAGGCGGTGCCCTTCCGCCCTGATGCCGCTGACTGGGCACTGTTGCCAAGCAAGTGCACACACGTGTAGGCCTCAGTGGGCCTGGGGAGAAGCTGGCGGACAGCTGAGACGGATCAGGACCCCGGACAGGGCTGTGAGAACGGGTCCCAGGGTGGGGATGGCAGGGGCAGCAAGTGTGCTTCTCCTGGGTGGGAGAGGAGCGGGGAAGGCCGGGTGTGGTAAGGGGCTGCCGTGGAGTCCTGACCATCCGGGGTCCTGCTAAAGGAGCCTGAGATGGTTCTCAGCTGGGGCGGCCAGCCTGCGTCGGTCTTGCGCGTGGGAAGAACACAATGGCAAGCAGAGGGCTGGTGGGTGCTGCAGGCAGTGCTGGCCCTGAGTTGGTGGCATGAGGAGCAGGTAAATCAAGGTCTGAGCTCCTGCGGGCCCCAGGGCCAACTCTTCAGACCAGGGGGAGGTGAGATGTGCTGTTCTGGGCATGAGCGTGGGGTGCTGACCTCTGCACCCTGGGTGTGGGGGTGCAGAGGTCAGGGAGGGAAATGTGCTGTAGATAAAATGGAGCTGGTAGGGCACAGGGGCCCCGGGGGCATCCGAGGGCAGGGATCAGCGTGAGCCACCCTGAGCCCCTGTCCCTGCGTGGTCAGAGATGTGTCTCATGCGCATGGGATGCTGTCTCATGGCGTCAGGTAATAGAAGGAGCAAGTAGAAATAAGAAAGTCGGAACAGGGCGCCTGGGTGGCTCAGATGGTTAAGCGTCTGCCTTCAGCTCAGGTCATGATCTCAGGGTCCTGGGATCGAGTCCCGCATCGGGCTCCCTGCTCCTTGGGAGCCTGCTTCTCCCTCTGCCTCTCTCTCTCTCTCTTTCTCTCTCTGTCTGTCTCTCATGAATAAATAAATAAAATCTTTAAAAAAAAACAAAACAAGAAAGTCGGAACTGTGGAAAGAATAACTGCTTTTCCAACAAGATAGAGGTCTGCTTGCTCCTCAGGGCTGTGCCCAGCCACCTGTGAGTGCTTTCTGCATGGGTTTGCGTGTCCTAGGGTCTCCCCTCCCTTCCCTCCTCCTCCTCTATTTCCACTAGGAAAAGAAGGAATTCATTTTCTAGTGGGAGGAACTGTAATAAGGATTTCTTACACCCAGATCACGGGATGTTGAAGCTGTGCTTAGACCTTTTCTTTCTTAATTCTACAAGTAACACTGCAATACATTTTGTCCCGGCTTCAGATGGTATGGGTAAAGCACCAGCCCTTTTTCACCCGTTCCTTGCCCATTCGTGGGTATGTGGAAGCGTCTTAGTTGGGTTTGGCTCTTTCTGTAGAAACAGACTAGTGTCAGTGGTTCTCTGGCTGAGGCTTTCACTTGGTACATCCTCAAGACCTTTCCTGTGAGCACCTGCAGAGCCTGGTCCAGATCTGGACACCTTCGCTGGTAGACGCTGGGATGATGGCCCCTGAGGGGGCCTTGATTGTGGCAGAGGGCGTTCCTGTCCCCAACCCCTCAGATTTAACCCCCTGCTGTTGTGCCCCTGGCTGTGGGCTCGCTTTTCGGCCACAGGAGGCACGGGTTTGCAGCCTTTCTGAGCACAGACCTTGGTACTTGCTGTTGCAGGTGGGACTTCCACCAGTGGGCGATCCATGAGCACTTCCTCCCCAAGCCCTCTGCTGCAGGGGGCTGCGATGGGCACCTGCAGACAGCGTGCACGGTTCTCGTCGACGTGCTGATAGACTTCTGCCAAAGGTTAGGAATGCGGATGCCAAAGGGCGTCATACTCTTAATTTTGGTAGTTCTAAGAATGTGCTTTTTATTTCTCTCAGTCTACTTTGTGTTATACAAAGCACAGTTGAACATACCCTGATAGCGAGTCTGAGTCTATCTGAAGTAAAGGTAAGTTTTCAGAATCCGTTTTCTTCATGTATAGATTTGCCAGTGGCAATGACTTGTCTTTCTGCTTTGTCACCTGGCACCTGGGTCATTGAGTGTAAAGGGTGGGACAGGTAGGCCAGCAGGTGGCAAGCGTCACAGGTGCCTGAAACATGGACGTGGGCTGGCTGCCAAGGGGGCAGAATTCCATAGCATGCAGGCTGTGTTGGGTTTGCGTTCCTGCTCAGCTAGTCTCGATTAGTCTTTGTCCTTCTGATTGTTGTGTCAAGATGGCGAGTAAAATCAATTCCATTTTACACATTTTAGGTGACAAATATCAAATCGCAGAAAACAAATCTTGTTACCCTCTAAGAAACACAGTCCATGCAAATGGTTACTGAAGACACGAGGAAGGACAGGTGCCTTTAGGTTTCCCACTGTCCCTCTGTTCTCCACAAGGATCTGTAAACACATCACCTCGTTAGCAGAACTCTTACAAGTCACACTACATTGCAATACAACTAAGAGCACTGGAGTTTTTCCTAGTGGTGCTGAGTGGCTGGGGACAACACCTATAGTACCAGGCAGCTGAAGTTGGGGCCAGTCCTCTTGTCCTTCATTTTTCTCTTGGGAGGGAGAAACGAGTGTGTGTGCACAGAGTGAAATCAGTGAGTGTCTGTGCATTCTTTCCATGCCCCCCTAACCCTGGAATCCACTTTCTTTTTTTTTTTTTTTTTAAAGATTTTATTTATTTGAGAGAGAGAATGAGATAGAGCACGAGAGGGGGGAGGGTCAGAGGGAGAAGCAGACTCCCCGCCGAGCAGGGAGCCCGATGCGGGACTCGATCCCGGGACTCCAGGATCATGACCTGAGCCGAAGGCAGTCGCTTAACCAACTGAGCCACCCAGGCGCCCTGGAATCCACTTTCTGTCTAAGCCTTTGTCGATCCTAGTACATTTCATATAAATGGAATCACACAAGCATGTGGTCCTTTGTGTGTGGCTCACTCAGGACAACGTTTTCAAGGTTAGTCTACATAATAGCATCTATCTGAACTTCATTTCTTTATTACTGAGTAGTATTCCATTGAAAGATGGACCACATTTTGTTTATTCATGATGGACATTTGGGTTTTCACTTATTGACTGAATAATTCTGTACAATTCTGTGTACAGACTTTTCTGTGGTCCTGTGTTTTCATTTTTCTTGGGCATATGGCTATGCGTGGATTGCTGTGTCATATCTTTTTTTTTTCTTTCAATTGGCATTTAAAAAAAATTAATATACAATGTATTATTTGTTTCAGGGGTACAGGTCTGTGATTCATCAGTCTGTTGTGTCGTATCTAAACTTTTTTTAGGAACTGCCAGACTGTTTTCCAAAACTGCACCATTTTACATTGTCACCAACAGTATCAGGGTTCCAGTTTCTCCACATTATCACGAACATAGTTATTGTTATCTTTTGATAATACCCATTCTAATGGATATGAAATGGTATATTTCATTATGGTTTTGATTTGTTTTTCTCTGGTGGCTAATGATGTTGAGAATCTTTTCATTTGCTTGTTGACAGTTTGTGTATCTTTGAGAAATGTCACATCCTTTGCCCATTTTAAGATTGGGTTTTTTTTACTGAGGTTTTTTGTGTTTTTGTGTTTTTGTTTTTTTAAGATTTTATTTATTTATTCATGAGAGAGAGAGAGGCAGAGGGAGAAGCAGGCTCCGAAGGAGCAGGGAGCCTGATGCGGGACTCGATCCCAGGACCCCGGGACCATGACCTGAGCCGAAGGCAGACGCTTAACCATCTGAGCCACCCAGGCGCCCTTTTTACTGAGTTTTAAGAGTTCATGGGGCGCGGGCGCCTGGGTGGCTCAGTTGTTAAGCGGCTGCCTTCGGCTCAGGTCATGATCCCAGGGTCCTGGGATCGAGTCCCACATCGGGCTCCCTGCTCAGCAGGAAGCCTGCTTCTCCCTCTCCCACTCTCCCTGCTTGTGTTCCTGCTCTCGCTGTCTCTGTCAAATAAATAAATAAAATCTTTAAAAAAAAAAAAAAAAAAGAGTTCATGGGGCGCCTGGGTGGCTCAGTCATTAAGCGGCTGCCTTTGGCTCAGGTCATGTTCCCAGGGTCCTGGTATTGCTCCCTGCTCAGCGGGAAGCCTGCTTCTCCCTCTCCCCCTGCTTGTGTTCCCACTCTCGCTGTCTCTCTCTGTCAAATAAATAAATAAAATCTTAAAAAAAAAAAAATTTCTTTATTCTGGATACCAGATCCTTATCAGGTAGGAGATGCAGATATTTTCTCCCATTCTAGGAGTCATCTTTTCATTTCTTCCCTTGATGGAGTCCTTTGATGCACAAAAGTGTTATATTTTGATGAAGTCTAGTTTATTTTTAGTTTTAGCTCTTAATTTAGGTCTTTGATGCATTTGATTTAATTTTTATGGAATAAGTTACGGATCCACCTTTACTGTTTTGCATGTGGACATCCAGTTGTCCTAGCACGTTTTGTTAAAGACACTGTCCTTCCCCATTAAATGGTCTTGGCACCCTTGCCAAAAATCAGTTAACCATACCTGTTGAGGTTTATTTCTGGACTCTTTATTCACTTTGGTGTATATATCTTTTTTCTTTTTGTTTTAAGATTTTATTTATTTATGAGATGCCTGGGTGGCTCAGTAGGCTAAGCGTCTGCCTTCAGCTCAGGTCATGATCTCGGGGTCCTGGGATTGAGCCCTGCATTGGGCTCTCTGCTCAGCAGGGAGCCTGCTTCTCCCTCTCCCTCTGTGCTTTCTCTCCCTCTCATGCTCTTTCAAATAACTAAATAAATAAAATCTTAAAAAAAGAAAAAGGGGGCGCCTGGGTGGCTCAGTTGGTTAAGTGACTGCCTTCGGCTCAGGTCATGATCCTGGAGTCCCGGGATCGAGTCCCGCATCGGGCTCCCTGCTCGGCAGGGAGTCTGCTTCTCCCTCTGACCCTCTTCCCTCTCTTGCTATCTGTCTCTCATTCTCTCTCTCTCAAATAAATAAATAAAATCTTTAAAAAAAAAAAAGAAAAAGATTTGTGGTGTATACATCTATTCTTATGCCAATATCATACTGTTTTGATTACTGTAGATTTGTAGGAAGTTTTTATTGGGAAATGTGGATCCCCCAACTTCCTTTTTTTCCCCAAAGATTGTTTTGGGGGTTCTGGGTTCTTTGCAATTCCATCTGAATTTCAGGACCAGTTTGCCAATTTCAACATAACCAGGTGGGCTTCTGATAGAGATTGCATTGTATCTGTAGATAATTATGGTTATTATTACCATTTTAAGAACACTGATTCTTCCTATCCATGAACATGGGATGTCTTTCCATTTATTTAGGTCTTGTATAATTTTTCAACGTTTTATAGTTTTCATTGTACAAGTCTTGCACCTCCTTGGTTAAGTTTATCCTTAGGTATTGTATTCTAACACCATTGTAAATGGAATTATTGTCTTAATTCCATTCTTGGATTATTCGTGGGTATAGAGAAATATAACTGATTTTTGTATATTGATTGCATGTCCTGCAACTTTATGAAATTGTTTATTTGCTTTAATAGTTTTTTATTGTGGATTCTTTAAGATTTTCTGTATACAAAGTCACGTCATCCGTGAATAGAGATGGTTTAACTTTCTCCTTTCCAATCTGGATGCCTTTTCTTTCTTTTTCTGGCTGAACTGTCCCAGCTAGAACTTCCAGTGGTATTGAATGGAAGCAGTGAAAGAGGAGAACTTTGTCTTATTTCTGATTTTAGGAGGAAAGCTTTTTTTTTTTTTTTTAAAGATTTTATTTATTTATTTGAGAGAGAGAGAATGAGAGAGAGCACATGAGAGGGGGGAGGGTCAGAGGGAGAAGCAGACTCCCCGCCGAGCAGGGAGCCCGATGCGGGACTCGATCCCGGGACTCCAGGATCCATGACCTGAGCCGAAGGCAGTCGCCCAACCAACTGAGCCACCCAGGCGCCCAGGAGGAAAGCTTTCATCATTAAGCATGAGACGAGCTGTGGGTTTTTCATAGACGGCCTTTATCAGGTTGAGGAAGTTCCTTTCTGCTCCTGGTTTGTTGAGTGTTTTTATCATGAAAGGGTATTGAATTTTGTCTAATGTTTTATCTGTGTCTATTGAGATGTTCACATGGTTTTTATTTATTGATATGTGTATTCTATTGATATGTTGATTTTAGGGTGTTGAACCAACCTCGCATTCTTAGAATAAATCCCACTTGGTTATGGTACATAATTGTTTTTAGATGTCACTAGATTGGGGTTGCTAGTATTTTGTTGTAGACGGTTGTTTTGTTTGTTGATGACTGTGGGTGTCATGTGGTCCCCTGGGACCTCCTGGCTGTGTGACCACACGCCACTCTGGGGGCGGAGGAGAAGTAGGAAAGCCTGTACATCTGGAGATACTTAGGAGGCTTTTGTTGTGTTTTTGTTTCAGTTCGAGGAGTTACAACTGCTCAGAGAATTCTGATTTGGTTCTCGGTAGCTGCACAGGAAATCGGGATATTTTTTCCAGATTGCAGGTGAGTTAGAAGATGTAAAACTCAGTGTGTTTCACTGCATTTGTATCATCTGCTCTTATGATATTTACTATGAATGTCTTAAGGCAGCCCAGCAGAATGAAAACTAGCATCCCACATATAATGGACTAGACCCAGAGTGACAGTGTGCTCACTTCACCAGGGAATATCCCCAAAATACAGAAACAAAAGCTGTGGTGCCAGAACCATCTCCAGCCTTAGGAACATTTAAAATTTGAAAATAGAGGAAACTAAGAAGACGCCCACTTTGGTAGTAAACGTTGCTCTCCACCACTTGCTGCTTTTTAGCTCTTGACTGCTCATTTGGATGTCAGGCTCTGAGAAATGACAAAGGAGGCCGAGAGGCTGCTCTTTCACAGGGTCGCCTAGCAGCTCCACAGGCTGGTGGGTTTCAGCAAAGCAGTTGCACTTAGGAGGGCGTGGAAATGGGGCTCTCGTTTTGAAGTAAAGAGTGCAGTTTTCAGTGAGCGTGCCTGATAGCTAGCCTTAGGTCTTGTCCGGGCGATAGAAAGACCCTGAGAGTAGGCTCTGGGGTCCAGGTGCAGACCCCCTCTGGTCTCCGTGTCCACAGTGTGCACGGGGAATCTACCTTTGGAGGTACACGTGTGGCTTCGTGTTGGCAGGATTCTTTGTGTGGATTTCACACTTCCTGGTGGTGTTCGCGCTGCTCTTCAAGCGCTTGAGAAGCTGGGGGGAGTGACAGGAACCACGGAGCGGGTGGCCTGGGACCCTGGGAAATCTTACCTACGAAGGAATAAAACTAACCCCACAAAGAAGAGATCCCAGCCCTCCAAGTCCTCCTCTTGACCTCTTGTCCTCCACGTCCATCCTAACTGGCTGTGGCAGGCAGAGTGCGTCGTGGGGCTTGGGTCCCACGCCGCAGGGATGGTGCTGCGACGTGGGCGCCTGGCTTGTTCTGTCTCTGCATTTGAACGTGTGCCGACTGCACACACGTGTATGCTTTCAATTAGCAGGCACTTTATTGAGTGCCCGCTGTGTACACACCTTATGTCCACAAATTATGCGCACGCAACACCTGTACACGCAGAGTGAGAAAACCAATGATAATCGATAAAATGTTAGTCATAGGGGAATCTGGTAAAGGTGTTCATTGTACTATTCTTATTCTGCTTTTGCAAATTGTCAATGATTTCCACGTAAAAAGGCTTGTCCCACTCATTCCTAGCTTCTTTTGGGAGACCTCCCTCCCAAGCCCACCCAGCCCCCTTTGAGAGTCCTGATTGGGGCTGACAGTAAGCCCTGAGAACTTTCTGCCTTCACATTTGAGGATAGTCACGTGGAACCAGCAATAAAAGTATGTGAACATTTTGGTCTTGTGTTTTCCAGGAGATGGCTGCTGACCTGGAACAGGGCCCAGCAGCATCCCAGAGTTGCTCTCCTCGGGAGCACTTCCTTTTCAGAGTGTTCCGCACACGGCTCCAGGCTCTGGCAAGCGGGTGGGATGTGGCTGCCCGCCTTCAGAGACAGCGGGAGCTGCTTGTTTACAAATGGTAACGTGGCACCATATAGAGGAGTCTGTCTTTACATTGAGTTTTCTTTTCCACTGGTCATTTGTTTCTGTCCCCTGTCCCCGTCTTCTCTTTGGGGTTCCCATGGAGAGAGCGGGGTCTGAAGCTTCGGATCAAAGCCGCCCCTTCAGACCCACGAGCTGCTTTGTTGAAAGATGTAGCCCAGAAAATGCCTGTCGAAATAAGGAAAACCATGTGTGCTTAGAGATGCCCGTTGTAGATGTGTTTATGAGTGTGAGACGGTGAAATGTCCCCGTTCTCGGGAGTGGCTCTGTTAGACTGGGGTGCACCCTTTTACTTGGCGATTGTGCCGCTTAAGAACGGCTCTTGGGGTTAAGACATGGGGGTGTTGCAGGACCCTTGCCAGAGTGAGTAGGGAGGGCCATTACCGAGGTGAGTCTGCGCTCTCAAGTCACGAGGCTGTGCTGTGACCACTGACGCAGCTCTTTCCGTGCAAGGATCCTCCTCGGTCTGCCCCCGGCTGTTCTCGTCGGCAGCCCCCAGGCCAAGGAGCCAGCGGCCCCTGACTGCACGGAGTTCTTCCACTTGGTCAACTCTGAGCTGGTAGGTGTGGGCAAGCAACCTCGGAATGCAGGGACGGGGGTGATCTGGTTCTTGAAGATTCGCGAGTGTGACTGGTCACTTTGAGCCAACGGCTTCAGTGTGTGTGCAGACCACGTGGAATTGCTGAGGGAAAGAATGGGGGTACCACTCCGGGAGCCGAGACTTGGGGCTGCTGTGTGCCCAGCCCTCCTCCCACAGCTGGAACCGGGGCTGGGGAGGTGCAGAGACCAGCTGTGGCTCCCTTCCTCCAAAGCTTCAGTCCCTTTCGAGAGCTTTCCTTGACGTTCAGCCGTCAAGATCCATAAACTCGTGCAGCCCAAGCATCTCTAGTTCTTTCCAGTTTTGACGTTTCAGGCACACAAAAGCCGGTGGTGCTGAGAAGACTGCCATTCCCACCGGTCGGCCCTGCTTCCTTCCGTTGTACACACTGTTCAGTGTCAGGTGCTCCGTCATCTTACCCAGAAGGACCAAAGCCTGCATGCATCCAGTCAGGGTCAGTGAGGGCACCAGGAATAAGCACGTCCTACACACTTCAGAATAGCTTCTACTCCTGAAGATGTTTTTCCAGTTTTTAAAAATGCACAAAGACAACTAGAGATTGAACTAAGGTTCCATTCAGTGACACAGAGCTTTAAACGGTGACTCAGAAAGCAGGAGAGATGAGACTGCGTGTTCCTTGGGTTCTTAGCAAAGGCTGTTTTCCTTAACGTTGTCAGAAGGGCCCGTGAAGGCTGGCAGAACAGAGAACCCAGAGCTGGGGAGGCCGGTTGCCAACCCAGCAACGGGGCCATCAGGGAGTGCGCGCCGGCCTCCTGACCTATGTTGGGGCCGGAGCGGGCAGGCTGGGGGGTCTTGCTGCACAGAGGAGCTGCATGGATAGGCAGAGAGATGCCAGATCCTGGGCTAGCCATGAGGGCGGACATGAAGCTGGACCTCTGTGGTCAGCAGCGGCGCCGTGAGCACAGCTAAAGCCTCTCGGCACACACTGCCTCCGCTCCCACCCCCTGCCCCACTGGTTCCTTTCTCACTGGCCTGTGCTCTTTTGCAGAGAAACTTCTGCTCCCACGGAGGTGCTCTGACCCATGACATCACCGTCCACTTCTTCAGGGTAATTCTGTTGCCCCCAGCACCTCCCGCCACTTGGCTGGACTCTCCTAGCCAGTGGTGCTTTGAAGCCCTGGTGCCTTTTAGGAACAGGGACACATGCAAACCACATGTTCTCTCCTGCAGGGGCTCCTCAGCGCCTGTTCACAAAGCAGAAACCCCTCCCGGACCGCAGACCTGATCCTGACCGCGTGCCAGACTGAGTGCCCCATAGTCCTGACCTCTGCTCTGGTAGGTGCAGCCACCTTCTTGGGGTGCGCCCGGGGCTGGCACAGGGACTGGGGGCCCAGGGCAGCATCCTGGTTCTTGTCATTGAGGAGAAAATGCATGCAGAGAAATGGGGGGTAAAGCGAAGCCATCGGCAGGGAGGATGACGGGCTTCCCTGCCCACGCCGGCTGGACAACAGTGTCTGAGTGTTGCTTCACTCTGGTTCTGCGTTGGCTGAAGGTGAACCCTAACTGCCTGAGCTCCCCAACTTGGGCTCCACCTGTTGTCTTGCCAGACGACCATCTCAGGACTGGAAGGGAGGCGGCCCAGTCCCCTGCTGCCCGGCCCTCACGTGGGTGTGGGGTTCCCCGGGGGGCCTTCGCTGGCTTTCCTGGCGTCCTGACGACACGCAGCTCTCCTAGCAGCCGTAGGACTTACGCTGCCACGCCCCCCGAGTGTTCAGCTTTCCATGTAGTCTGTGGCTCACGTGGGTGGAATTCAGTGCAGAAGTTACTGTGTGTGTAAAACACCAGCTCTCAGGCGGACATCCGTGTCCTCTACAGATGAGGAGGAGATAGCTCATGGAACTGCCTTGAACCTTAAATCGAGTACATGACACACTACTTAAATAGGAGGTGTTGGGTGAACATGAGCCATGCTGCCGGCGTCAGCTGGTCTCACGCACATCTCCGGTGGTCACTCCGGGGTTCCACATCTTGGCTGTAGGGACTGAAGAGGGCCCAAGTATAGCCTCCCCTGATCTGCTTACTGGTGATCTTTCTCTTCTGTTAGTTGTGGTGGCCACGCCTGGAGCCGGAACTTCGCAGCCGGTGGACGAGATGCTTCCAGGGCCCACTGCCCCAAGAGCTGCAGAGGCTGTGGGAGGCCCAGCAGTTTGGCAGGAGGTGCGTGCAACCAGGAGAGGGAGCACAGATGTTCTTTAGGACCTGCTCCAGGTTCCCTCCGTGAATACCTTGGGATGGCGGACAGAGGCCTTAGGGCAGGCTGGGCAGGACCCACATGGAAGGGAAGGGACAGACCTGACCTGGCGGGTCGCTGTGCAGCTTTCCGCCCCACCTGGCCTGCCCAGCTGGCCGTCCCCGGCAGGTGCTGGTTTGGGGGGAGAACTGTGGTCCCATCCGGCCTCCTTTTATCCCTGTGCATGGCTACAGTGTCCAGAGTGCTCAAAATCCCAGAAAACAAGGAATGCCAACTGCTACATTATATTCCACTGATTTTTGGCCTGTTTTTAACCTGCTGGGACACCTTTCTGAGCACCACACTGCAGCCACAGCAGGGACTGAGGAGGAGGACTGGACCCAGAAGCCAAGGGTGTGAGTGGTGGGCTCCAGGTGAGAGTCCCGTGTCCCACGACCTCCTTGCAAAGCTCAGGCAGTCAGGACCAAGTGTCCCAGTCAGGCCCTACCCCGTCCTCACATCCATGGCACAGAAGCACGTTAGGGAAACTGGACACTGGACCCTAAGGGAAGGAGGCTGACACCGGGCTCTAGGTCCCTATGCCGAGCCAGGGGTGGTTAGGGACGTAGACCTTGTTTCTGTGGACTCGAGCCCCTCGCTGCCCCAGCTGAGGTGGGCAGGGCTGGTGGCTTTCCACCAGGATGTGGTCATGACGCCCCTGTGGTGACGCATCTGTCTCCTAGCTGCCTCTCTCCTGACTTGGCGTCCCCCCCACCGGGCCCGGCCTGGGTCTCTGCTGCTTCACTCCACTTCGCAATCCAGCAAGCCGGGGAAAACAACATCAAGAGCCAGCTGGAGAAGCTGGACTGCCAAAGAGAGGAGGCAAGAAACGCAATTCTTTCACTTCTTTCTTTTCTACCAAGTTTGTTTTTAATCAGTGTTCCGATCAGCTGAGTTTCTCAGGGTTCACCTAAGGAATTGTGCTTTTCCAAGAACAGAGAGGGAGTATGGTATTCTTGTGACTTTATTAGGAAGTAGAATTTACCAGGCTGATGGATTTTGTAATATTTCACTCTCAAGTTTACTGGTAGAAAGAATACCTTTCGTGTTTCACTTTTGATTTTGCTTAGCTTATTTTTATCCTCCCTAAACCCAGGGCAGGGCTGTCATCAGCTGCCCCGTGGGACCTTCTTTGTCCCTGTTCCCACAGCCTTTGCTCCTTCATCTCTCCCCCAACTAAATAAACCATTTGTAAACTGGAAAGTCAACCTGTCAGCTCAGGACATACAGGCCTGCCTGTGGTTTTTGGTAATTTAATGGGGAAAAAAAAACAAAACCCACAAGGGAGATTCTCTTAAGTTTGTTTCTGTTCAAAGTGATTTCAGTGGCCTCAAGCCTCTTAGGCCTGCGTGTGCTGAGAAGAGGTGTCCAGACACCCCAGCCAGCCTGGGTGCACTCCAGGGGGTTGGGAAGAGGTGGAGCCCTGCCTCGGGTCAGGAGGGGGCCTGTGCGTTTACCTCTAGGGATTTTACAAACACCCTTCTAGACAAGGAGCCCGGGAGTGGGGCTGGGCCGGGGGTGGCTCGCTGCACCAGATTGAGGTACTGGCAGCTCGCACAGCATGGACACCCTCAGCCACAGCACAGTTCTTCCCTGCGGTCACTTTTCCAAGCTGTGTTTAAAGGCACATATAAAATGATGCAGTCTGTAAGAATTTATTCTCAAACTACCTCTTTAAAATTTTCCTTCCTGAGAAGATCCACTTAGAGGAAAGATTTATGCCCTCTGCCTATAAATGTTTGGTCAAAGAACAGCATCTGCATTCCTTACTTAGATTTACTTACGGAGGGTACAGCCTGGGTGGTTTTCATGTTCTAAAGGCACTGGTCTTATTTGCAGCTGCTGGTTGTCCTGTTTTTCTTCTCCTTAATGGGCCTGCTTTCATCACATCTCACCCCACACTTAAGACATCAGGTAAGGTGGCCCTTTCCCACCCCCAGACCTCCCTACTCAGGGTTTCTGGGAGGAGGGCCCTGGAACCTTTGATTGAAGGGCTCCTCAGGAGTCTTGTGCTTGCTGAAGCAAGAACCCCTTGGCCCTGGGCCTCTCCTTTGAGGTCTCATTTCAGAACTTGAGCACAGGGGTCCCTGACCTGCTCCTCCTACAGTCACCATTCAAGACTCAACAGAATGAGCAAAGGCTCCCTTCTGGGCTGGAGGTCATCCCTCTCCCCACTGTGTGCCTGTCTGTGCAGACAGTCAGCCTCCCTCCCTCTTCTGTGGGCCACAGGCTGTGGACTCCCTAAAGGCTTTGGACATATGTGCAGAGATCCTGGGGTGTTTGGAGAAGAAGAAGGTATCCTGGCTGGTACTCTTTCAGTTGACAGAGACAGGTAAGACAGCACTGAGACTTGGTAGCAGGGCACAGCCTGTGTCTGTCCCGGTTACCAGCCATCTACTGGGAACACAGGTGATCCGCAAAGGCAGGCTGCGATCCCCACTTTTTATTTAGTCCTTCTTCAAAAATAACTTTCCAGTGGTTAAGTATGAACCCCTGGGCCTTAATTTACTAACTCATTTTTCAAAGTCTATCTTCTTGCTAAGTATATAAACCACATTTTAGGCTAAATGCAGTACAAACTCATCTAAACAACGAAAGAGTTGAGTGAGGTACTAGGGGGACCCAGGGTGGCACTGGGCCATCATGGGGGGGGGTCTACCCCCCAGGCTCTGCCCTCCAGCATGAGGACATCACCACCCCTCCCAGCCAGGCACCTGAGGTCTCCTGAACATGCTGATCCTGGGGTGGGGAGGTGGCTACAGAGCCAAGCCTAACCCCCTTTGGTTGCAGAGGGTGGCCTGGGGCGTGTCCTCCTCCGCCTGGCCCCAGATCCATACATCAGGCTGCTGCCGTTTGCCTTCTACAGGTAACTGCACCTGCCGCGGGTCAGTGTCGCAACACGCTCTCAGCGGAGTTCCCCCCCGGGGGGTTGTGTGTGGTCAGAGGAGGGGTCACCCCAGCCCAATCATCTATCAGTTTCACTGTGGCTCGCCCTCCAAACGGGAAAGATGCCTGGAACTCCATTCCTCAGATGAGTCGCTGCTCAGTGCTGACAGCCACTCACCTCTGTTCGATCTTGGAGTCACGAGGCATCTTCTTTCTTACCTTCAGCCTTCTCTCCTATTTTGATGAAGACGCCCTCATGAGGGAAGATGCCTTCCTGCGTGTTGCTGTCGACATGTACCTAAAGCTGATCTGTCTCTTCGTGGCTGGGGAGACAAGTGTGGTCTCGGCTCTAGCCGGCAGGAGCCAGGAGCTCCAGGGCCAGGCAGGTGACACAGCTCACAGACCCGTGCAGCCAGCTCTCCTGGCAGAGTGAGCAGGTGGGGGCATCGTGACCCTCACAGTACACACCCTGACCTGTCTCTCTGCCTGTGCTCTCTCCAGGGTGACCCCGTAGGCTTGATAACAAAAGCTCGTCATTTTCTGCTGCAATCAATACCTAGGTGCCCAAAAGAGAGCTTCTCGAACATGGCAGAGGTAACGCCCAGATGCTTGTTGCTTTGGTGTGTGTGGACACGTGAAGAGTGTTGAAGTTGCAACACCTCAAGTGTGTCCAGCACTTGCACTGTGGCCACTTACCTGCTGGGCTCCGGTGGCCAGCTCCCCGTCCTCAGGCCCTGGAGTCTGGGGGCTGCACTGGGCTGAGCACAGCTGTTTTCCTGCAGCTGCTGGCTACCAGTGGACAGTGTGACCCGGAAGTGAGTGCCGCCCTCCGGAGCAGACAGCAGGCGCTGCCCGATGCCGACCTCTACCAGGAGCCCCATCTCTTCTGACTGGACCCTGCGCAGCTCCTTGGTAAATAATTTATTACAAGCATAACATGGAGCTCTTGCACTAAAAAGTGGGTTACAAATCTCCTTGATTGCTTTAGTGGGGAATAGGAATCAATTATTTAAAATCCGTCCGGCCCCGAGTCATTCAGTATTTGTAGGAAAATGCTGGTCCCAGAGTGGAGGCTGGAAAGGCTACGTGAGTTGCACACTGAGCCCACGGTCACCATGCTGCAGATCAGTGCCCTCCTGACACACAGGTGGGGGGGTACAGCATGGGGGCTCCAGGGGAGCGAGCGAGCAAAGCTGTGCTGTCAGGTTGCGTATGAGGAACTACTGAAACGGTCTTAACCCCATTTACCCCCGGAGTTCAGGTAGGCTCGGGCTTCACGGCCTGGCCCTCCACAGTCCCGGGCGGTGGCTCCAGGGGCAGGGCCTTGTCCTGGGTCTGCGTCAGAGGGTGGACCATGGACATGTGCACGTTGAGGTTGTGGGCCTTCTCGAACCGCCGGCCACACTGGTCACAGGCAAAGTCCAGCTCAGTCTCAGCCTTGTGTTTAGTCATGTGGTACTTGAGGGATGCTCGCTGCCGGCACTGGAAGCCACAGACTTCACACCTGGGGGACAGGGCCAGGTGAGCAAGGGCATGGGGGCCAGCGTGGCCATGAGAAGGTGCCCATCCCCACACTTACTGCAGAGGCTTGGCTCCTGAGTGGCGCATCTGGTGGACAAGAAGGTGCTTCCGTTGCTTGAAGGTCTGTCCACACTCATCACAGATATAGTTCCGCACCTCTGTGGACCAGAGATGCAGTAAGCACAGACGGGAGAAATGCCCAGCCCTCCCACGGAGCACGGGGGCCTCGAGTGGTGTTTCCTTACACTCAGGGCCCAAGCAAGGGGCCTGTGCAAACCTAATTTTATTCAGAGATGGAAAACTTTTTTCTTTTAGCTCTTAAGTGCTTTTAAAAAATTATTATTTTTTTAATGTTATGTTAATCCCCATACATTACATCATTAGTTTTAGATGACGTGTTCCATGATTCACTGTTTGTGCATAACACCCAGTGCTCCATGCAGAACGTGCCCCCCTCAGTACCCACCACCAGGTTAACCCATCCTCCCACCCTGGAAAACATTTCTAATACAAAACTTTTTGTTAACAGAGCACTCCAAATTGCTTAAAAATGCCACCTGGCTGGGACTTCATCAACTGTGTACATTTGAAGCCTGTCTTCTTGAAGAGAAACTTAGATCTATTTATTTGAGTAAAAATTCTTCAAGGAAGCCACATCAATAAAGCTCCATAGATCACCACTGCCACTTGGCAAATAAATTTCTTACACTCTTGAACAAAAACTGAACAGTCAGCTCTACTCCTGGACATGGGCTTGGGGTGGTAGCCATGAGCTTCTTCCTCCCGGCCATTTCCAGTCCCACCTGCTCAACTACAAACACCCACACAGACTGGCTTTCTCCCCTACTAGGTACAGTGCACCCTTAGAGTCAGTCTGTCCTCTTAGCAGTTTCACCACTGGTGTCTGAACGGAGACAGCTTGAAGACCCAATTTAAGGGAATGACTTGTGTCAGGAGATGTCCAAGAGTGCTCAGAGCAAAACACACAGGAAAATGGTTTCACAGTGAAACCAACCAATAGATTTGTCTGATAATAAAACGGACAAATCTGGGTAAAAAAAAGTAAATCATAGCTTTCTATAGTAAGGTAGTTTAACAAAAACAAGCACAATTCCTGCTCAGGAATAAAGAGAGATGCGCTCCACTGATCTTTCAAAGGGGGTGATGCCAATCAGGAGAGCAGCTCTGTGGAGAGAAGCAGCAGGTGCGGCCATCAGGCGCACGTGCAGGTCCTGTGCTTCTAACGCATGTGGGGTGGATCGTGTCTTTAAAGTTAGAGGGGAATCAAAATTGTGAGGAACGCACAGGAGCCTGGGGTTGTAATACGTATGCAGAGAAGGGATGGGGAGAGGAAGAGGGCCCTAGGCTCACCTCGTCCCACAAACACACTACTTAGGCAACTATCAAATCATCCCAAATGCCCCAGAAACCAACCTGAAGACTGGCAGAACAAATTCCACAACTGAAGGAGAAGAGCGAGAGACCGACTAGCTCACAGGGAAAAGGAATTCCCACAGCAACTGGCTCGGAAAGCCAGAGGGGCCGAGGGGCCGAGTTTCCCCAAGCTGTCACAACTGCGGGGGGTTCAAGCCTGGGGTCGTGAAGGTCAGCGGGCTTGTCTCAGGCACAGCCCAGAGGGCACAGTGCTGCTCTTGGAGGGAAGGCAAGCAAACAGCCCGTGGACCTACAAGAGCGTCCCGGGCACACGGGTCGGGTGGGAGGGGGGTGGTCGAGCTTATCTGCTCATCTCAGAGGGCGTCCCAGAGAGACCCCTCCAAGAACAAAGGAATAGCAGGTGCCCTCTACCTCCTCCACCCCTCAGCATAAACACAGGTCCAACTCAGGAACCAGCAGAGCACAGACCACACCACCAAGCCCTGCTCACCGCCCCCTCACGCCAGTGGAACCCCCCTTCCCGTCCCCTCTGGCCTCAGTCCCAGCCCAGCAGGCCCCCTCCCCCAGAAGACCGGCCCAAGCCCCTGCTCACACCATGTTCCCCAACCCGGGAGTTCTGGAGTCTGTGGCGACAGGTCTCCTCTCACGAGCAGACCAGAGCATAGCTGGTTAAATGCACCATATTCAGACCAAACACGGCCCACAACAGGCAGAGAGCGCCTCTGCAGATGAGCGGCCTGAAGGCTAAAGCGGCCAGGACACACGAGCAGAGCACACGCCACGCACGCTGGAGACACTGCCCGAAGCGCCGGGCCCTGGGGAGCGGCCCACTACAACGCGGGGCCCTGCAGGACTGGGTCAGGCCATTACCCCCAAGAACACACAGAAGTGGGCACAGAGACACAAAATGAGAACCAACAGGAAGAGTAAGCCCTCAGGTGCGGATGGTGCTTGTGCATGGGGGTGCTTACTATCTTCTCTGTGCTTGCTTTTTACAATTTCTACAATGAGCATGGGTTACTTTTATAATCCAAAAAGCACATATTGTTATTTTTTTAAAGTAATGATAAAACCACCACAATAAACCTGCAGAAAGGCACTGGGATTTCTTCACTGTCAGTTCCACAGCCCATACGCATGACCCGGAAGGCACAGCCCCAGGCCTCTTTGAAGGGTGTCCAGCCCCCATAAGCCACCCAAGGGGACTGTATATGTGAGTGTGGGAGAACAGGGCACGCACCTGTGTGGATGAGCTTCACGTGACGCTGCAGATAGCGATCGATCATGAACACCTTGTTGCAGCCAGGGTGGGGGCAGGGCCTCTCCCGGACCTCCTCGTGGTGCTCCTTTATGTGCTTCTGCGGGACAGACCGCAAGACCATGAGTGCCTTGGCCAGGACAATTCCCCTGATCACATAGCACATGCCTCCCACGGGTCCTACATGGCACCCTCAAAGGAAGAGACCCAACCATTCCTCACTCAACAAGAAGTGGGTGCTTCTCCCAGGAGTGGAGGGCTCACTTCTTGGCCCATGGCTGCTCAATTCTCCATTCACGCAGGCTCACGTGAGCCCCTGGGGACAAGTCTACACGAGGCTCTACAGAAACATCTGGTCCTCCTGGTCGACCACACACAGCAGGCAGCCCCTGGCGCCGGGGCAGTGCCCCTTCTCACCTTCATGCCGTCGGCCCCTCGGTACACAGCTGTGCAGCCCTGGTAAGGGCACTTGTAGATGGTGGGTAGCTCCTCCCTGCAATGCAGAGCACACATGGAGCTGCTGCCCCGACGGGCAGGCCAGCCCTCTACCCAGGCCTCACCTCTCACAGCGGAGCTTGTTCTTCCAGCCCGGCTTCGGTCCAGGCTTCTTTCGGATTTTTGGTTCTTCAGACTTCTTGGCTTCTTTGCTTTCACTCTTTTTACCAGAGACCCTGTGAGGGCAAAAAAAAAGGAAAAAAAAAAAAAAAAAGATGGTGGGGGGAGGAAGATATGTAGTCAGATTCAGTGCTGTTTCTGATCTCCATTGCATATGTGTTTCTCACTTTTCTTCATGGTTCTCTCTCCTCAAACAGGAGAGGTAGGGTTTTCCTCAGGCTTCCATGGCAACCTGCTTCAGTCTCAGTGCTCACTGGCTGGCTTCACACTGACCTTAGCCATCAGAGCTAGACCAACCCCTAGGAAAGGCAGAGGCTCTGTACTACCAGCTCGGGAAGGCAAGGTACAGGGCTACAGAGTGGGTTTTCAGGACTGAAACTTCACTCCCTTAACATCAAAACCAACAACTATTATTTGGAGACATCATGTTAAATGGTGGAGTGGGGAAGCTTTAGGGGTCAGTCCATCAAAACAACCAGTAGGCTAGAAAAAAGATCAGAATCAACAATTCTGGAACCTGATGGGAGGTGCACAGCAACCAGGCAGGGGCTCAAAGGGAGACGTGTGTTCCTGGGAGAGAGCTATGTTGCTCCACCAGCTGCCATCCCTGCTCCTTAGTCCTGCTGCTGGGGCCAGGGTGGGCAGTGGGGACCTTTTATTCAGTCTGACAGGTCCTGAAGGACCAATTCAGATGCATCAACCTCCCCCTGGGGTGTCTAGTGAAGATTTAAAGAGACATGGGGCACCTGGGTGGCTCAGCTGGTGAAGCGTCTGCCTTCGACTTAGGTCATGATCCCAAGATCCTGGGATGGATCCCCGCCCGCATTGGGCTCCACACTCAGTGGGGAGTCTGCTTCTCCCTCTCCCTCTGCCCCTCCCCCTGCTCATGCTCTGTCTCAAATAAAATCTTTAAAAAAGTATAATATAAAGAGAAATGTACACTTTTTTTTTCCTTTTTCAGATCCAGACATTGGAAAACTGCCAAAAACAGAAGGGAACTTTTTATTTAGGGCATTATATGACAAGCCTATACCTAACATCATCCTCAATGGTAAAAGACTGAAAGTTTTCCCCTAAGATCAGGAACAAGACAAAGAAATGCCCATTTTTGCCACTGCTACTCAACACAGTATTAGAAGTTCTAGCCACAGCAATTAGGCAAGAAAAAGAAAAGAGATCTAAATTAGAAAGAAAATTACCTATATGCACAAAAAACATGATCTCATATGCAGAAAACCCTGAAGAATGCACACACACAAAAGTAAACAAATTCAGCAAAGTTGCAGGGTACACAGTCAACACACAAAAGCCAGTTCTACTTCTACACACTAACAACGAACGATGCAAAAAGAAAATTTAAAAACAATTCATTTGCAATAGCATCAAAAAGAATAAAATACTTAGGAATAAAGTTAACCAAGAAGATGAAAGACTTACACATTAAAGACTGTAACACACTGCTGAAAGAAATTTAAAAAGAACTGAAGAAGTGGGAAAACATTCCGTGTTTATGGGTTGCAGGATTAATATTAAGATGACAACACTTCTCCCAAAGCCATCTACAAACCCTATCAAAATCTCAGTGGTGTTTCTGGCAGAAACAGAAAAAGCAATCCTAAGTTCAACATGGAATTTCAAGGGATACTGAATAGCTAAATAAGTCTGAAAAACAAAGCTGGAGGACTCACACTTCTGATTCCAAAATTTATTATAAAACTACAATAATCAGTGCGCTACTAGTACAAAAACAGACATACAGACTAAGCGAAGAGAACTGAAAGGCCAAAAATAAACCCCTCACAAGAACAATCAACTGAGGGGTGCCTGGGTGGCTCAGTCGTTAAGCGTCTGCCTTCAGCTCAGGTCATGATCCCAGGGTCCTGTGATCAAGCCCCACATTGGGCTCCCTGCTCCGCCAGAAGCCTGCTTCTCCCTCTCCCACTCCCCCTGCTTGTGTTCCCTCTCTCACTGTGTCTCTCTCTGTCAAATAAATAAATAAAATCTTTAAAAAAAAAGAACAATCAACTGATTTTTTGACAAGGGTGCCAAGACCCCTCAACGGGGGGAGGAGAGTCTCTTCAACAAAAGGTGCTGGGAAAGCCTGATGTCCACATGCCAAAGAATGAATGTGGATCCCTACCTTATTCCATATACAAACATTAACTCAAATGAATCAAAGACCTAGGAGCTAAAACTATCAAATTCTTGGATGAAAACATGACCTTGGATTTGGCAACAGTTTCTTGAACATGACGTCAAAGGCAAGGCAACACGGGGCCCCCGGCTGCCTCAGTCAGGGGGGCATGTGACTCGATCTCAGGGCTGTGAGTCTGAGCCCACGCTGGACATAGAGATTATTAGGGGGAAAAAAAAAAAAAAGGCAAAACAACAAAAGTAAAAACAGGTAAAATGGACTTCAAAATTAAAATTAAAAACTTCTGGGGCGCCTGGGTGGCTCAGTCGTTAAGCGTCTGCCTTCGGCTCAGGTCATGATCCCAGGGTCCCGGGATCGAGTCCCCCACTGGGCTCCCTGCTCGGCAGGAAGCCTGCTTCTCCCTCCCCCACTCCCTCTGCTTGTGTTCCCTCTCTCACTGCGTCTCTCTCTGTCAAATAAAATCTTTAAAAAAAAAAAAATTTAAAAATTTCTGTGCACCAAAGGAAAGTATCAAGGGAATGAAAAAGATAATCCACTGAATGGGAGAAAATGTACCCTACAACTCAACAGCATAAAGACAAAACAAGTTAATTTAAAAATGGCCAAAAATAAATAAATAAAAAGAAAAAAATCATTTAAAATCTGAAAAAAAAAAAAGGGCAAAGGACTTAAATAGACATTTCTCAAAAAATATAAGCATGTTAAAAGATGCTCCATCATCACTAATCACTAAGGAAATGCAAACCAAAATGACAATGGGATACTACTTTACACCCTAGAGGATGAACACTAGAAAGGAAAACCGGTTTGAATCACTCTATTATATGCCTAAAACTAATATAACACTGTGTTAACCATACTAAAAATTAGAAAAAAGAAAATGGCCACTGTGGAAAGCGGTATGGATGTTCCACAGAAAATTAAAAATATGTACACATGAAACTAATAGAACATATACTGAGATTACAATTAAAAAATTAATAAAAAATAAAAAAAAAAGAAATAGAATATGAGGGTTGCCTGGGTGGCTCAGTTGTTAAGCATCTGCCTTCGGCCCAGGTCACAATCTCAGGGTCCTGGGATCGAGCCCGCATTGGGCTCCCTGCTCAGCGGGCAGCCTGCTTCTCCCTCTCCCTCTGCCCTTCCCCCTGCTTGTGTTCCCTCTCTCGCTGTTGTCTCTCTCTGTTATTTATTTATAAATAAATAAATAAATAAATAAAATAATAGAATAGAATATGATCCAGTATTTCCACTACTGGGTATTTACCCAAACAAAAAGAAAACACTAATTCAAAAAGATACAGGTACCCCATGTTTACGGCAGCACTATTTACAATAGCCAAGACATGGAATCAGCCCAAGGGTTCCAAGATGAATGGATAAAAAAGATGTGGTATATATATAACGGAACATTACTCAGCCACAAGAAAGAATGAGATCTTGCCATTTGCGACAACATAGATGGACCTAGAGGGCATTATGCCAAGTGAACTAAATCAGGGAAAGAGAAATACCCTGTATTTTACCTATATGTGGAACAAAAATCAAACCAACAAAAGGAGAGAACGGATGGTTGTGGGCTGGGGGGCATTCATTCCACTTCAGGAATGAGGGATGCAGACAAAGCATAGAGAATACAGTCAGTGTACGTAACAGAGCTGCACAATGGCCCATGGGCAGCTACGAGTGATGGGTACAGCACAACGTACAGAGCTACCGGGTCAGTATGTTGTGTGCCTGACACGAACACTACATGTCTACTACACTTCACTTTAAAAATAAACAAAATAGGGGCGCCTGGGTGGCTCAGTCGGTTGGGCGACTGCCTTCAGCTCAGGTCATGATCCTGGAGTCCCGGGATCGAGTCCCGCATGGGGCTCCCTGCTCGGCGGGGAGTCTGCTTCTCCCTCTGACCCTCCCCCCTCATGTGCTCGCTCTCTCTCTCTCATTCTCTCTCAAATAAATAAATAAAATCTTTAAAAAAAATGCCTCTTTATTAAAAAATAAATAAATAAACAAAATAATGGGGTGCCTGGGAGGCTCAGCTGGCTGTTAAGTATCTGACTCTTGATTCTGGCTCAGGTCATGATCTCAGGGTTGTGAGATCCAGCCCCACGTAGAGCTCTGCGCTGGGCGTGGAGCCTGCTTAAGATTCTCTCTCCTCTCCTGCTGTAACCCCCGTCAGCTCTCTCTCTCTAAAACAAAAACAAAACAAAAAACCCCACAAAAACAAAATAAATGTCAAAATTAAAAACATGGAAAATTAAAAATGTTGACAAGGATTTGGAGAAATTAGAACCCTTGTACATTGTTGATGGGAATGTAAAATGGTACAGCTTCTATGGAAAACTGTAAGGCAGTTCCTCAAAAAGTTAAACATAGAACTAGCATATGACCCAACAATTCTACTTCTGGGTATACCCAAAGAACTGAAACAGGGACTCAAACAGATACTTTTCTTTTTTCTTTTCAAGTAGGCTCCACAATGCAGGCCTTAAACTCACGACCCTGAGATCAAGACCTGAGCTGAGATCAAGAATTGGATGCTTAACTGACTGAGCCACCCAGGCGCCCCTCAAACAGATACTTGCAGGCCAGTATTCATAACATTATTCACAATAGCCAAAAGGCAGAAACAACCCCAAATGACAGAAGAATGGATCGACAAACTGTGGTCTATCCATACAACCGAATATATTCAGGCATAGAAAGGAACAAAGTTCTGATACATGTTACAACACGGATGAATCTAAAAAACATTATGTAAAATGAAAGAACCCTATCAAAAAGGACAAATATATATTTGTCAAATACATGTATATACTTCTATGAAGTGCCCTGATGTAACTAGATTAGCGGCTGCCAGAGCCTGGGAGAGGGGAAAGAGGGAAGTCATCACTTAATGGGTATAGAGTTTCTGCTTGGGACGATGAAAAGTTTAGAAATAGTGGTGATGGTTGCACAACACTATGAATGTACTTAATGGCCGCCGAATTAACTGCACATTTAAAAATGATAAAATGGGGGGCACCTGGGTGGCTCAGTCCCCAGCTAAGGACCCAGACAGGCATGTCTGCTAAAAGGAAGTCACACGGACCAGGGCTGTTCAGAGGCCCTGTCCTAGGTTTCCAGTTGTGATTCACATTGTAGCACCCAAGGAACCATGTGGCCACAAGGTCTGAGTGTCTCTGTGGGCACAAAGGTGCACCCAGAGCTGTGGCCAGCCCACTGCCACCTGGTCCCACCTCCTGCAGGGCATGGCTTCTGTTTCTCCTTCCATAGCCATGTCAGAACTCAAAGGAAAAAAGTAAGTCAGGTTTGCTCTTTAATCTTTGTGCTGCATTTTCTTGGCTGACGGTGTGGTGCTCCTGTGTTTCCATTCTACCGCGAAACGCTCAGTAATACCCAAGTGGGGCAGCGACTACCTACAGGCCTTCTGGGTGTCCCTGGGCACAAGATGGGGAGGAAAGTGACACAAGTACACATTAGCCTTCCGTGCCAGGATCCTAGACGCTGAGAGAAAAGACAAACCCCTGGAAAGGGAAGGTCGAGACAAGGCCACAGAGACAACTCTATAAGGAAGTGATGTAGAGATCAGTGCCAGAGGCAGATCTGAGAGCAACTGCTGGGTCCCTGAGCCTCCAAGGACCTTGGCACAGAAGCAGAAAGAAGTGTAGGGTAGAGGTTCCTGCAGGAAATCAGAGGCTGACTCGGCAGACACTACTGTGGTGTGACTGAGGGCAGGGCTGGCAGAAGGGGAGGCAGGGAGCTCCCAGACTGAGGCTGAGTCACATCCACAGGCCCTGCCACTCTCACAAGACACAGAGACCAGGTCCCAGCTCACTCAGAAGCCACACTGCACTGTGTGGTCAGACCAAAGAGCAGCAGGAAACAAATGTGCTAAGCAAGGGCAGACTGGGAAGTAGAAGCCTTCGTTCCCTGTCCCCACTACTCCCACCCAGTGACCCTACCAGGCAGACTAGGTTTCCAGGTTACCCAGCGATGCCACTCCCAGACCCCAGGGACATGCAACAAGACTGCCCCCCTTACTTCTTTTCTGGGTAAGGCTCAAAGGATTCGTCCGAGGACTGGGTATTCTGCTTCTTGTCATTTTCGTCTTCACTCAGGATGTCCCTAGGGAAGAAGAGAGAACCTTTAGCAAAGGCCTGTGGTGACAGATCCAATGACACTTCCTATCTGAAAACACCATCAAATCTCCATACTCCATGTTTTAGCTCTCCTAAAAATGTCTTAGAAACCTAAAACCCCCAAATCTCTGAACTCCTCTCCTAACAGAAAGGGCAGGCCAGCAAAATGACGATTCCCCAGAAGCCTCCTGACTCCTCTCACACCAGGACCCTGAACTTGGAAAGAACCTCTCTATGGGGCCCCAGGTAGCACACGAAGACCTCAAGGAGGCAGGCTTCTCAGAAAGTGGATTTTCAGACTGAGTTAACTATTTCCCATAACTGTGAGCACCTATCCAGCTGACCGGTCAGCTGCTGGCCACTGCAAAGGTCACAAAGGCCAGGAAAAGATCTGTGTATCTGTAAACTTTATCCTAAAGCATGAAGTCAGTTTCTATAGGGCAGCGGACAGAGACAGGCTGGTGGTACACCATGGCCTTCCCCTGCAGGCTGTCACCTGTCCGGACAAGAAAGACTCAAGGCTGGCTGGTGGGCTAAAGGACAGCCTGTGACCACTCCTGGTCCTGGAGGTGTTTTTAGCACACCGACTTGGGTTCTTCCAGCATCTCAGTCATTTTTCATTGACACCCCACTGGAGTTGAGCCAAAAATCAAACTGTCCTCCTCTACTTGTTTGGATGAGGGTACATCTGCATTCCAGCCAGAGCTTATGGGGAAAGGCTGTGAAGGCCAGCTGGTGTGTGGCTGCCACCATGAGTGGTTCTCAGCTGACAAGCAGGAGGTGGCCCAGGAGCGAACAGTCCCTGACAGTGCCCTTTCCGGGGCGGGTTGTCCTCCTGCGCAGAACCTCTGCCCCAAGTCACAATCATGTCATGACAAAGGGCCAGAGACTGACTTCCTGTTTCAGTAACATCTACAGCTGGCATAAAACCACAGCCTTGAAGGAGACAAGCCAGCAACAACAAAGGAGCGACCACGGGACTCTAATTTCCACACCACCCTAGTTGTGCTCCCCCTGCAAATGCCTCAGGCTGGGGGGCCCTCTGGATCAGGAACAAGAAGCTTGGAAGGAAACACCCTCGGCCACTCGTCTCCTTCCCACTGAGAGAAGGAGAGGGTCCTGGCCAGGACACGGACAGGGAGCACACAGGTTGGCGGAGTTTGGTTTTCCAAGGAGGAATTTTAGGCTATTTAAACCCACTCTTCTCTCACCCCTCAGAAAGGTCACTGAACTCGTCTTTTACCCGATCATCCGAGGTTGAAGATGGAACCTGCTTCTCACCCAACCGCCCTGAGAAACAAAGAACAAGGCTCCTGTTACCAACACGGAGCGCAGGCAGTGCTCCCCAGCGAGGAGGCGTGCACCTGTCTGACAATGGAGCCTTCCTTGCAGGGAGCCTGGGGTCCTTCACCTTTAAATCCCACCCACCTCCCAGCCCCATCCCCCATAAGGTTCCTGCATAGCCAGACCGACCACCCCCACGACTAGCACAGGCATGGGCAGCACCAGGCATCAGAAACCCTAGCCGACAGTCCACATCAGCAAGCCCAGGCCTTCCTAGAGGTTCAGATCCAGTCGTTTAGGGGTGGGACGACTCACACTTTGTGGATGTTCCAGGACGTTTAAGAAAATCATCGTTAGCAAAGTACTGCATGCCATGCACAGCTAAAAAAGCCAAGCAGTTCTAAGAACCTCTGACACAATTCCCTTTTCCCTTCCCAGCATTTGTGCACCTCCATCTCTCTGAACTATTTGGGTAGCTACACTTTTTTTCTTCTGGATAGTTACACTTTTAAAAAAGTGCCACCGAGAGCTCGGACACAAGAGCAGCCGAGGGCTATGCACAGACAGGCGCACAAACGGAGGCTAAGAGAAGCAGGGCGGAAGCGAACCCAGCCACCCTAACACAAAGTCAGTCCATCAACAGCTACACCCCAACCACAGCACTGTGGGATCGGGTCCCAAACAAGGGCCTATGTTTCCTCTTGGCCAGTTGGCAGAGGGGCCTGTCTACACGAGCCCCACTGGGATGTCACCGGGACACTGGCTGAGACCCAGGGAATGACCTGCAGCTGGAACAAAACAGCCTCGGAGGCAGCAGCTGCCCTCTTCCCCCATGTCCCACAACAAGGACCCCATTCTTCTGCCTCCCTTCGGCCCCCTGGCCCCAAGCAGGCTTAGCAAGGAAGACCAGATGGCAGGCGAGCATGCCTTTACAGAAACTGCTGGAATAGGGTCCTCAAACCCCCCCCCCCCACCGCTGTCAGATGCCCAGGAGGAGATGCTAAGGCCGGCTCCTCCTCCTTTCTCCCAGAACCCCTGCACACAACACGATGACCACCGCCCACAACGATGCAGACATCCACTTCCTACTGAGAGCCCTGCCTGGTTCAAGACTAGGAATCCTGGTTTAACAGCCCAGAGGAGCCTCCTACCTGGGGCCCCACTTGAGGGGAAGCTTGGCTGAGGTGGGGGGCTCAGCCCAGGCCCTACAGGGATGACATCTGAAGGAGGCTGGGCCATGTCCGTGCTGGGCAGTGTCTCGGTCTCAGCTGGAACTGTGGTCGCTTTGCCCTGGGAGCTCTGAGGGGCAGCCCCAGTGGGGTTGGATCCCCGATGCTGGGTGAGCCACGGGGCCATCTCCTTGTCCCATGTCCACTTGACTGCCAATGCACTGTCCAGCAAGAGGGCCCCGCAGCTGGAGTCGGCGTCCATGGTATAGTCGTGGCCCTGGTCACAGCCCCACACGGCTTGGATAACACCGCAGTACTCGGAGGACAGTGTCCTCTGGAGGTTAGGCAGGGCCCCACAGCTGGCTGCGTGTCCATGCACCCATGCCACCAAGTCACGTAGGCCCTGGGGGCTCGAAGTGATCAGGTCCACTGAGGAAAGGCACAGAGACGCCACACCCATGGCCAGTCAGCACCCAGCCCACCTCAAGCCTACCCACGTACCACACACCAGGGGCACACTCACCCAGACACGCTCCCTCCTCTGCCCCTGGTGGGGGCTGGGCACCAACCCTGCAAAGGATCAGCATGGCCATGAGTGGGGCTGGCAGTGAACAAGATGCAGGCTCACCAGATCCCTTTCATAGGCCACCTCTCCCACATGCAGTCTGAAACTGCTCTTCCAAGGGCTGTCTCCTACACTCAGAGCCCTTCGTGGCCCTCACCTCCCCCAAGCATGTCTGTCCATCTCCCTCACACCAGTCACACTGGTGCTCCCACGTCTGCTGCTCCAGCATGATGCGTCTCCCCACTGCAGAGGCTCCCCCCAGCACTCCCTGTGCCTAGAACAGCCCCAGCGTGCAGGGTGCTTGGCCCCTGAATGCCCACCAAAGAATGAAGGAGGAACGCCTACTTTGTGCAAGTCTTCCGGTGGCCGGTCGGGGAGACGTTGACTCTCTGCAGGAAGGACTTGAGGAGGCCATGGCACTGGTAGAACTGGGTGTGGCAGTTCTTGCAGACAAACTGAGACAGAGCTGGGTCCTGGTGGACGGCCACCCCCAGCAAGTGCTGGAAGTCCCTGATGAAAACTCGCTCCCCTGGGGGTGGTCTGTCTGAGCTCTCCCCAGGTGCCCTGCCAGAAATGCTGCGGAGACTCCGTGAGGAGAACTTCCCATGGCAGAGGCGACAGTGCCCCATGGCAAGAGCCCGGCCTGTTCCTGGGCAAGCACAGGAGACATTAAGTCAGCTGATAAGGCTGCTCGCTGCACAGGGCATGTAAGACACAAGCTCCTAGGAAGCGAGCAACGCGGCCCCAGGGGAGGTGAGACCCACGCTCTGCCGTCCTCCATGGAGCTTCCCCATATATACCCCTTAAACACAAGCCCACACCTGCGCCAAAGGCAGGGCTCTGGCTCTGGGCTCCCAGTTGAACACAGAGACTTTTGGGAGATGTGCTCAATGGAGGGCCTTATGGTCCAGAAAACCTTTCAGAGAATTCTAAGTGCTTCTACAACAAGGCCAGAATTACCCTCCTAACAAAACCAGACAAGGACACCACAAGAAAAGAAAATTACACGCCAATATCCCTGACAAACACAGCTGCCAAAATCCTCACCAAAACATTAGCAAACCAAATTCAACAATACACTAAGAGGCTCATATACCATGATCCAGTGGGATTTATTCCAAGGGTGCAAGGATAGTCCAACATCCACAAACCAATGAACCTGATACATATTAACAAAACAAAGGATGCAAATCATATGAGCATCTCAACAGATGCAGAAAGTTTCTGACACAATTCAATGCCCATCACGATAAAAATTCTGAACAAAGTGGGTATAGAAAGAATGTACCTAAACATAATAAAGGTGACAGATAACAAGCTCATAGCTAACACTATACACACAGATGAAAAGCAGAAAGCTTTCCTCTCAGATTAGGAACAAGACAAGGATGCCCACTCTCACCACTTTTATTCAGCATAGTACTGGAAGTCCTAGACAGAGCAATTAGGCAAGAAAAGTAAGAAATATCCAAATAAGAAAAAGAGAAGTAAAAAACTGTCTCATTTGCAGATAATATGGCATTATATATGGAAAACCCTAAAGACTCCATCAAAAGACTCTAAGAATGCTAAGAATAAAAAATCGGTAAAGCGGCAGGACACAAAAATCAATAATGAACTATCAGAAAAAGAAATTAAGAAAGCAATCCCACTTACAACTGCATCAAAAAGGGGGCGCCTGGGTGGCTCAGTTGTTAAGCGTCTGCCTTCAGCTCAGGTCATGATCCCAGGGTCCTGGGATCGAGTCCCCCATTGGGCTCCCTGCTAAGCAGGAAGCCTGCTTCTCCCTCTCCCACTGCTTGTGTTTCCCCCCTCTCTCTGCCAAATAAATTAATTTAAAAATTCATCAAAAAGAATAAAATACCTATGAATAAATTTAACAAGGAGGTGAAAAACCTACACACTGAAAACTGTAAGACACTGATGAAAGAAAGTGAAGACACAGATAAATGAATATTCTGCGCTCGTGGATTAGAAGAAAACTGTTAACATGTTCATGCTACAAAAAGCCATCTACAGATTCAGTACAATCCTGATCAAAATCCCAATGGCATTTTTCACAAAAATAGAAGTCCTAAAATTTATATGAAACCACAAAAGACCCCAAATAGCCAAAGCAATCTTGAGAAAGAAGAACAAAGCCAGAAGCATCACATTTCTTGATTTCAAACTATATAACAAAACTACAGTAACCGAAACAGTATAGTAATGACATAAAAACAGACCGACTGATGCAACAAAAGAGAGAGCCCAGATATAAACCCATGCATATGTGAGGTCAATTAATTTACAACAAAGGAGGCAAGAATATACAATGGAGAAATGATAGTTTCTTCAATAAATGGGTGTTGGGAAACTGGACAACCACATGGGAAAGAATGAAACTAGGCCCCCAACTTAAATCATAAACAAAAATAAACTCAAAATGGATTAAAGACCTAAATGTGAGACCTAAAACCATAAAACTCCTAGAAGAAAACACCGGCAGTAAATTCCTTCTCCTCAGTCTTGGTGATGATTTTTTTGGATTCAACACTGAAAACAAAGTCAACAAACGCAAAAAATAAACAAGAGGGACTACATCAAACTGAAATGCTTCTGTACTGCAAAGAAAACCATCAACGAAATGAAAAGGCAACCTACCGAATTTGGGAAAACATTTGCCAATCATATATCTGGAAGGGATTAATACCTAAAATATATAAAGGACTAATACAACTCAAAATCAAAAACACAATCCAATTAGAATACAGGCAGCAGGGGAGCCTGGGTGGCTCAGTCAGTTAAGCGTCTGCCTTCAGCTCAGGTCATGATCCCAGGGTCCTGGGATCGAGCCCCGCATCGGGCTCCCTGCTCAGCGGGAAGCCTGCTTCTCCCTCTCCCACTCCCCCTGCTTGTGTTCCCTCTCTTGCTGTGTCTCTGTCAAATAAATAAATAAAATCTTAAAAAAAAACAAAACCAAGAACGTGTGTGTGAGGATGTGGGAAAAGGGAACCCTTGGGCACTGTCGGTGGGAATGTAAATTGGTACAGTCTCTATGAAGGGGGGGGTGCGTGGGGGGTGCGGTAGGTTGAGTGTCTGACTCTTGGTTTCGGCTCAGGTCATGATCTCAGGGTCATGGATGTCGAACCCAGTGTGGAGCCTAGTGTGGGGCTCCCTGCTCAGTTGGGAGTGTGCTTCTCTCGGTTGCTCTGCCTCTGCCCCTCCCCCTGCTCGAGTGCTCTCTCTCTAAAATAAATAATTAAATCTTTTAAAAAATAAAACTACCGTTTGACCCGACAATTCTCCTTCTCGATATTTATACAAAGGAAATGAAAACACTAACTCAAAAACGTACATACGCTCCCATTTTCATGGCAGCATTATTTACAATAGCCAAGGTATGGAAACTACCTAGGTGCCCACTGATTAATGAATGCACAAAAAGTGAGGTGGGTGTGCACGCGCGCGCGCACACACACCCACACACCCACACAGGAATATTATTCAGCCATAAAAAGGGACACCCTCCATCTGTGACAACACGGATGGACCTAGAAGAGACTACGCTAAGTGAAATAAGTCAGACAAGGAAAGACAAGCCCACTCCATTTCTCTTACGTGTGTCATCTAGAAACAGCAGAACAACAACAAAAGCTCCCAGAGAGCGACCGGGGGCGGCAGGGGCGGACGGCAGGGCAGGGCGGGACGGAGAGGGTCGGGGGGAGGGTCGGTCAAAGGCGCACGTTTCCAGCGATAACTACGTCTCGGGCACGGTGCCTACCGTCAGTAACACCGCTCTGTACGTCTGGAAGTGCCTGCAAGTTCTCACCGCAGGAAAAGCCCCGCAACCGCGTGAGGGCAGAGGTCACCGACCCCCGCGGCGATGCCGGCTCGACGGACGGAAACGGCCAATCGCCAAGGCGCTGCCCACCCAAACGAAGGCCATGTCGCAGCCTAATTCCACGCCCCACCTCTGAACGAACGCTTCCCTCCTCCCACGGTCGGCCGGCCTCGCGCACACGCTGCCCCCACCCTCCGTGCCCCGGGGGGCAGCCAGGCGCCGGGGCACAGTGCCCCCCACCGAGGCCACGAGCACGCGCGCAAGCAGCACCCGCCCGGCCCCCACCCGGTCCTGCTTCACCGAGACGAGACGCAAACGCGCGCCGGGCGCCGGGCCTGTCCGACTGCGGCCCCGCCAGCGTCGTGACTTCACGACGGGCAGTGGGCACCAAGGGGTCAGCCGCCCCGCGAAACAGCGCCCGGGCGGGCCGCCCTCAGCCCTCGCCCGCGGGGACGCCCCGTCGGCGGAGCGGCCCAGCGACGCCGAGGGGCCCCGGCTCCGCCCGCCACCCGGCGCCCCGGCCCGACCCACCTGCCTCGTCGGCGCCGTCCTCGCCCGGGTCCCCGCGGGCCCGCGCCAGGCCCCAGCCCAGCCGCGCCGCCACCAAGGCCGCGGCCTCGTCCACGCTCGGCCCGCTGCGGGCCGGGCGGCCTCGGGGCCGGCCGCCGCCGCCGCCGGAGCCCCCGCGCTGCGCCGCCGCCCCAGGCGACAGGAAGCGACCGAGCCGGTCCCGCTTCATGGCGGCGGCCGCGGCCACAGCCCGGCCCCGGCGCTCCGCCCCGCTCGGCCCCGCTCGGCCCGGCCCGGCCCTATTCGGCCCGCCTCGGCCCGGCCCGGCCCGGCCCGGCCCCGCTGTGTGCGCTGGACCCGGCCTCCGCGCCGGGTTACGTCCTGCGCGGCCCAGAGCCCCGCGCGTCCGCTCCGCTGGCCGGTGCGCGTCCGTCTCCGCCCGACGCCGCCGTCCGGCCCCGTTCGGCTCCCTGGGAGGGGGCGGGGCGAAGAGGGAGGGGCGGGGCGGCGAAGGGAAAGGCCAGGAGCGGGGGCAGGGGCGGCCCGGCAGGGCCCGGCGTTTGGCATGGCGCACACGTGGAGTGCGGGTGCTGGCTGTTACACTTACGCGCTCGCGGCTACTGCGTGAGACTACCCGAGAGCACCGCCGCCCCTGCCGCCTCGGGAGCCCGGCGCAAAGAGCGGCGGGGCCGGCGCCGCCGGAAGTACAGCCGCGCCGGCCCCGCCCCTTCCGGCGGTCCAGGGCTCGGGCGGCGCCGGCTCCAGCGCGGGCTGCGTTCCGGGCCCCGCGCCGCCTGTCCCGCCCTCGGCCGCCGGCGCCGCCGCTGCCGCCGCCACGGCCACGGCCTCCCGAGCCCGGCGCCATGGCCGCTGCGGCCGGGGACGGCGCGGTGAAGCCGCTGCAGTGCGCCATGAAGCTGGCCCACGGAGCCATCGAGCTGGACGCCGGCAACCGGCCCCGGGTGAGGCGACACGAAGCGGGGCGGGGGCGGCGGCCCGAGGCGCCCCCCGAGCGGCCGCCTGCCCGGGGGCGGGGGCGGGGCCGGGGCCGGGGCCGGGGGTGGGGGCGCCGTCCGGGACCCCGCCGGCGGCCCCGGGGGCGCGGGGCGCGGGCGTCGGCGTGACCTTGGACAGCTCCCCGCGCTCTGCGGGCCGGTCTGTGTGCGCGAAGCGGGGACCTGGAACCCGGGCTCGTCTGCAGGGTTCCCTGCGTGCTGCGTGTTTTCACGGGCAGACGCTGTAGCTTTAATCGGATTCCCCGAAGCGGCGGAACCCCGCGAGGGTCAACTGAGGCTCGTCCGCGATGCGTCTTTCCGGCACGCCTGTTGGGAGGGAATGCGGGCCGGGTGGCGTGGGCGTGAGTCCGGACGGTGGCAGCGGCTGGACTGCCCACGGACAGGGGAGGCCGCCTGTGCCCAGGAAAAGCCTCCTGCTTCCTCGGTGGGCTGCTCTCCCCAAGTCGGGTTTCTAGGGCCGCAGGTGCCCCACAGGTCAGAAATCCTTTCTGGAACCCATTTTATCCTTACCTCGGAGCTGGAGACCTAAAGGTTAATTTGACAACCGGGATGCGACAAGATGTCATGCGGCGGTTCCAAGTGCCTGGTGCTCTGGCTCGGAACCCTGCAGACCGTCAGACCCTGGAACGTGGCGATATTCTAGGACTCGAGATTGCGGCGTGCTCAGGGGGTTCTGGGATTTCCCAGAACCGAAGCCAGAAAGTGATTCTGAGATTTGCAACATCAGTCCCTCAGTAACCTCCTGGGAAAGTTGTGGTTTTTTCAAGCCACTGACGAAAGAGCCCCTGAGTCGCTCAGGAAGGAAACCTGTTGCAGAGTGAACTCCACAGCGACTGTTAGGACTGCTCCTCCTGGCGCACTGGAGAATCTGTTCTTCCTGTGCTGGGAACAGGCAGTGAGCGGAGGATGGGTGCCCAGCTGGGCACTGTTTTTCTTCAAGTCAAGGGAAGAGGGATACTATCTGTGCAGGACATCCCTGAGTACCTGGAGCAACTACCAGCTAACTATCTCAGGCTACATGTCTCAAACTCAAGAGATAAGCAAGCACCATTTCTGTTTCCCACAAGGGCATGAGGCAGGCGTGATGGAATTGTTTGCCATTACTGGACTGACCCCTGCCATTTCTCTTCCCTGGGCACAGGAGGCATATACAGAATACCTGAGGAGCATCCACTACATCTCCCAGGTGCTGCTGGAAGAAGTGGAAACCACCAAAGGTACGGCTCTCAGCCTCACCACTCCTCCTGCACTGAACAAATGATGGACAGCTTAGCCCTTGGTGGGTCTCAGGCCTGGGGGTGTCCTATGTCCTACCCATTAGTCGTTAGCAGAAGGTGAATGGGTGAACACTCAGCATGAGCTGTCGTAGTGTGATGTGGGAGCAGGAAGGGATGGGTGCTGTCAGGGGATGGAAATGGGATGGGGCATAACCAGAGACTGAACATCAAACCCCGGCCCAGAAAGGAGTGAGCTGCTGAAAAGTCAGGGGCTGGGGGCAACACTCCCAGCAGAGGGATGTGCAAAGGCCCTGAGGTGAGAGTGGATGCTGGGTACGGGGAAGAGTAGGTGCAGTTGGGGCAGTCATGGCCTTGGGTGGAACTGGGGTTGTTGTGGTGTAAGGGGAAGCTTGTAGAGGCTTTGTGGGAGAGAGGCCAGCATGGAAGCAGAGCCTCCAGGAGGCTCCCACAGTGAGGACAGCAGTGATAGGACCACTTGGAGATGGAAGGAGTGAAGGGCTTGGGGACGTTCTTTAAAGGTAGACCTTGGGGCTCCTGGGTGGCTCAGTCCATTGGGCGTCTGCCTTTGGCTCAGGTCAGGATCCAGGAGTCCCGGGATCGAGTCCCGCATCAGGCTCCCTGCTCAGCGGGGAGTCTGCTTCTCCCTCTGCCCTTCATCCCGCTCGTGCGCTCTCTCTCACACTCTCTCAAATAAATAAATAAAATCTTAAAAAAAAAAAAAGTAGACATCACAGATTTGCTGGGGGTGGGGGATGAGCCGCTGGTTGGCAGGATAGGGGGTGGAGACAGTGAGCCACTGTTTGGCGGGGCGGGGGGGGGTGGACAATGAACTGGGGGGAAACTGAGATGCAGAGGGCTGGTCCAGGGGGTGGCAGGAGCAGACTTGTGTGGGAAGAATAGAGAGCTCCATCATGAGCATGTTGTGCTTGAGGTGCTCAGCACCCTGGTGGATATGGGACCATGGTGGTTAGGGAGGGGTAGGGTCATCAGAATCAGAGCTGCCCCAGAGAGGCAGTGAGCTTAGCAGAGCTCTGGGCACTCCAAGATGGAGGCCTGGGAGGAGGGCACAGCAGAATGGAAGAGACAGACCCTGAGAGGTCGAGGAGCCCTCAGAGAAGGACTCGACATGAGGGTATTAGTGAGGGAGTTCCAGTGGGAGTCAGAGGGTTAAAACAGGATGCAGTGAGAGGCTGGCTGTAATGCGAGCATAGGTGGGTCAGGAACTACAGCTACTGGGGTCCAGCTCCTACAGTCCCTATCTGCTGACGGGAGTAATCCCCAGAGGAGGGAATGCAGAACAGAAGGCCCGGGGATGTGCCAGGGCTGGGGTCAAGCACAGCCAGAGGGCAGGAGAGAGGTGGTAAGGTTGTCTCTGTGAAATGGTCCATGGCCACAACAAGGCTCACCTTGAGGGGCTGTAAGTACAAGGAAAGCGCTTGCTGAGAAAAGGCCTGGTTAGGGAGGAAGGGGGCTCTGATGGTCCAGCAGGGATGACAGGTCAGATGCTGGGCTGGCCAAGCTCAGAGCCCACACAGCATCAGGAAGCAAACCCCCCGCAGATGATCAGAAATGATGAGGAGATGAGGTGACCTAGAGGTCAGAGATGAGGAGGGGGGCAGGGTGACCCAGGGTGAAGAGATGAGGAGGGGGATAGGCTAGCATAGGGGTCAGAGATGAGGAGAGGATGGGCTTGTCCTTGTTTTTATCTCAGCAAGAATCTGTTTAGCGATAAAGGTGATGGTGACCAGCTTTCTTGTCTCTTGATCCCCAGAAGGTGGAGACCCTGTGGCCCCAGACACCTCAAAGATGCTGAAACTGGCTGAGCAGTGTCTGGAGAGGGCCCAGTCAACAGCTGCCAAGCTTGGTGGGTCTCCAGCAGATTTCCCTAGGGCATTCCCCCACAAGTCTGCATCTCTGTGGGACACTGGACTCCATGCTGCCCCTTGCTTATGTACGTCTTGCAGGGAAAACGCACCTGAAGCCAGCCACGCCTGTGGCTGCTCCTGGTCCCTCATCTACCAGCCGACATCGTCGGGTGTACTCGGATGAAGGGGGGAGACTATCTCCGTTTCTGCCGCCCGAGATCTTCCAGAAGCTTCAGGCAGCAGAGTCACAAAGTTCTAAGAAGTAAGAAGGGGCCAAATGGAAGGTGGGCTGAGCCTGGGTTTAAAGTCCAGACAAAGGGAGCTAACCACAATGGTTTTAGTTAAAATGGGTCCGAGAATGGAAACAGCCTCGTGCTTGACAAAAACAAATGCAGATCCCTTTTGGACAGAAGCATGTGCACGAATCGCACACAGTCAGGTATAAGCAAGCATAGAAAGAAACCAGAAGCTTCAAGAGTAAGAGCAGAAACAGCCTGCAAGTATTCAGGTGGAATTAGCAGACGTTTCGCTAAACTGCCGTGCTCTCTACATTTACAGAAGTAAAAAGCAAGTTTGAAAATAATGCCAGGGGACAAAAAAAAAACATAAAATCTGACCCAGCAAATAAAGAACCAAGTAGAAACAAAAATATAATACCAAAATTGTTTTTAAAAACTAACTGAAAACAATAACGACAAATCATATCCTGCAGGGAGAGTCCACACATGCACACAAAAATGAGTGGTCGGTTTTTAACAGAGCAGACATAGTTGTGGAAAGAATGAGTGAATTGGTTAAAGGGTCAACAGACCCCCAGAATGACTCACAGAGGGGAGAGAAAAAAGAAAGTCTGAGAGAAAGATAGAAGATCTAACACAAGATTATTGGAGTTCCAGGAAAAGAAAAGGAAGAAAATGGGAGAGGCATTATTTGAAGAGCTAACAGGACATAAGTTTCTGGAACTGAGAAAAACGGTCAGATACAAGAATCCCCACTAGGACAGATAAGGCCTGGCTCCTCGTGGCCCTGGTGCTGCCAAGCCTCCAGGTCCACTGCCGCCCAGAGGTCCCAGGCCCTCACTTCTGCGTGTGCAGTTTGGGGGCAGGACCAGGCACAAGACCTCCATCCCAGGACAAATTTTCCCTCAGTTGGAGTCCTCACAACTGACCCTCTCCCACCGTGAAAGCATGAAGACCTGTGAGGCCAAAAGTCTCAGTGCGGGGTCGGGGGTAGCTTTTGGTGGCCATTTCTACCAAGTAGACAGGGTTCTCTATTTAATGGGTGGCAGACTCATCTAGTTGTTTGGCTCACATGAGTCCTTTAAAAAGTTTCATGTTGTTGCCAAACACGTATAACTGATCTGCAAAAAGTACGATGTCCAGCTTCTCTTGAAAGATCAGAGATCTTAGCAACGGCAGGTCCAGGTCAACAGGGCAGGGTCTCCAGTCCACCCCAGACCTC